GAATGCTTTTGAGCTTCAGATGACAAGGTTTCCCCTCCACCAACTTGCTTTCTGGTTGCCTTTAATTTCAGGTCCCGGCATTAGCTGAGCATTTGTTACCTCCTTTTGTTTCCGCTGTTTCCCAACAATTTGGGCTAACGATGTCCGTGAGCAATGAAAGAAAAATGTTTCCCAGACACACCAGCACGTGTCTGCAGTGACCCATAACGTTAGGTTGTGTTTGACTTTTGGCTCGGGCTTATATTTCACTCATATGTCGCTGCCGGCTTTGCATTCTTGGTTCCCATATTTCTCTGGATGATTTATATATTTCTGGTGAGTTTAAGCAAGCCTTTGGTTTGGCCTAAAACGGTGACACCGCAGAAAACTTTTTTGGATTGGAGTTGCAGTAAAATCGGTTTGACATTATCATTGCAAGTTCAGGCCGAAACTCTGCAAATACATTCCTCTGAGCGACTTCTGTCAATTACTGTTGGATGTCAACTGTCTCCTACTGCAGCTTGTCGTCCTTCCTCCCCTTACTATCCAACCCCCAACCCCCCTCCCCTGCACGGAAGAAACAGCAAGGACTCTTTTTTGAGGGTTGCCTGTCAAACTGTCTCTGCTGATTGTATGTTATTTTAGCTGCTACCCATGCTGTTGTTGTGAGTGCTGTCTGTCCTGTTATTGGATTTAACGAAGTGCACTGCATAACGCGCATACGCCATGTGCGCCCATTCCCAGCAATGTTTTTGTTAAGTCATGCGCATCATTTTTAAAGGGCTGTGCGGAAAGTTACTTTAAAGTGTAATGTCCCCCAAAAGAGCCCTAAAGGGAAGCAAGCTTCGGCAAGCCGAAGTTTAAATATATTGCAAAAATTAATTATTTCTGAAAACATTCATATTTTGATTAAAAACATTGGAGTAATGATGATTTCAAGCTCAATTATTCGATATTTTTTTATTGCAGCTATATGATATCGTTTTCCGATTTGCATTAAATTAAAATATGATTAAATGATAGTTCAGTATCAAATCAACTACCATTTACTTTCAAATATAAACATATTTTATGTTTAAGATGTATAAAATATTTACAAAATTGATTAAATAATTTTGATTAAGAAGCTTACCACAATTTTTTCAGATCTAATAAAAAAACCAAAATGTTGACACATTATTAAAGATTATTCATAAATTTCTTCAGTCATGTGTCATGACAACCCAGAATAATTAGTTTCCACCTCTTATGATAGTGTTTCAACAGTGCTTGCCGTTCCCTTACACATCACACATTCCCCCAGTTATCCAGCTTTGCAGCGTTCGCCAAATGCTTTCAGCCAACTGCTTCTCACAGCCTGATGCACTCCGTGCGGTTTTCTTTCTGCGAATGCGTCACAAACTCCTGCTGGCTGGTAGCAACACGAATACATCCAATTGCCGTGCCGCACCAGTGAAATGTCTGCTCCTCAGCCACCGGTCGTCATCGGAGGGGGAACACATTGTCACGTGGTTTTTGTATTTAGTTGTGTCCTCCACCTGTCGCCACAGCAGCTCCTGCAGCCTTTTCTTTGCGGTGACTGCAACCACTCGTATGACTTCCCATTCACATTGGAGCTCACACCAGTGCAATAAATTCGCCAGCCCGAGTTAAGTTTTGTGTGCCATTGTCGAGGGCCTCCATTGTGCCACAAACACAGATACAGACACAAGTCGCCTGTGTGGGTGTAGTTATCCTATCCGTGTGGTTGTTGAGCTGGCATTGTTTTGTTTGCCACTGCGACTACTTTGCTCCTTTTGTTGTGCAGGGAATTTGAAATAAATGTACGTGTAAATGCGTCAAAATTAAGTTTGTTTCTTTTTCGCTGGAGCTTTTTAAATGTCTTTGCCAGTGACAAGTGTCAATTAGAAAAGTTCAATTACATTAAGCCGAAGAAGGAGCAAACAACAACAAGTGGCAGCTTTGTTACAGGCATTTCCATGAAGGATATCTAGAGAGTCATTGTCAGTGTCGTTGCTTGAGCGTTATCAGGCAGAGGTAGCGTAGTTTTAATCACATTATGTAGGCGTATACACTGGCTTATAACTTTTTGGGGATGTGTAAACATCCATCAAATAATAAACCAATTTTTTATTTAAAAAACCAAATATTGTTACTTTGTGTATTTATTTAAAAGATTTTAAAACTTTGAGTTGATGGAACATTTACGAAATAAGGCATTTTTATTAGTATATGTATAACTAATAAATAAAAGAAAATAAATATATTTTGAATTAAGGTCCAACAAATAATTATTCGCTCATTGTTCTTTAATAGGATTACTTCATATTTATGAAGAAACAAGTTGATCAAATTCGTTCAAGACATGATAATAATAAACTTACCAAAGCAAATGTTCTTCAGTGTAGTACGTTTTAACAAATCTTTGAATAAGGCCAATTGCCTCTCAAAGTATTTTCAACAGCTCTTTGGACATGAAACAATTTCAATTTCACCCATAATTTGTCATGGCTAATTAACTTAACATTTTCGAATCTATTTCTTTCAAAATGTTAAGCTGCTCAGCTAATTTCCAGCTGTGGTTTAAACTCTGACGGGATCCAGTGACGACACATGTCATTTCATGACCAATCAGCTAATTAAATAAAATATTAATTAAGAAACTACAGACAGCAGACAGTAGACAGTAATAGTGGTAGAGATAGAGTGCATGGCCAAAATGACGTTTCATCAGTGGACATTTGGAGCTGTCGTTTGAGTAATTGTAATGTTTGGCATGCAATTAAGCAAATGATGAATGAATCATTTAGCGAGGGAGAGATGCGGCTGAGTTGTCTGGAGACCAGACAAGTTGACACTGCGCCAAGTTGGCAAAGTCCGTTAACATGGCGTATGCGCAATAATTTAGTGTGTAGCCAAACAATTCTCTCGTTGCAACGACGTGTTTAGTCAGCAGACAGCGGACACTCGCCGGCGTTTATAATTCGATCATTATTTATATTTAAATAGGTCCTTCCCCCACGCACCCGAACACACATCTGTTCGCTGTCTTTTTTCTCTTTTTTGTCGTATCGCCCCGTTTGCTTTGTTGTTTTGCTGGCCTGGCTAACAACAAATTGAAGGGAAATGATTCCATTTCATGCTAGATTAAACATGTGTCCACATAATTTATCGATTATTTATCATGTGGTCTGCTACGGGTGTGCTCTGTGTGGACAAAGTGAAGTGAAGCCAGAGGCCCCAGGCCCCCAACATGAATCTCTGTTTGCGGCTGGACGGGAAATGTAGGAAAAGTGGGCGATTGCCCTATTGCGTAGGCCTATTTCGGCCACATTGCGCACACAAGTGCAAAATTAGAAACAAAAGCTTTGCTAAAGGCATTTACCGTTTACCCTCTGCCGTAGCAAGTGAAGTTCGATGTCGCTTGCCATCATAGGCACTTGTCGCTCCAATGCCGAGTACCTCAAGGATATGACTGGGGTATGCTGGCAACATAATCAGCGGCAGCACCCCTTAGCAAAGAAAAACTCTCAATTATTCCAGAAAATGGGTCACTGCATCTGTTACCATACTACTACTACTTCTACTTTGATGAAAGATTTTGATTTTAATTTTCATAGGTCAGTTAAAGAACGTGTCCATCAGTCTATATTAAAGAGTACCAAAGGCAAACATTGTTCCACTTTTAAATATTTAGAAAACATTTTTTTATGATTTTTTTTTTTGTAAATTATTAAGCAACTTGTAAAATAATTTAAAGTTTTTGTTGCGCATATAAACACAAAATCCCGTTCACATAAAAAATTTTAATTTTGTTATTATAGCTAAGACTATTTGTGTTGCTCTAGTAATAATTAAATATTGTAAGATTATTTAAGCCAGTAATAATAATTAAAAAAATGGACTTTATAAACAAACTATTACTGAACAATATTATGGAACAGAAGAAGAGTTTGGTACAGAATAAAAAACTGGACTTATGAACTACCAAGTGACTATAATTGAATCTTCATTAATGAACCCATGGAAAAGTAACCTATCCAACGATTGTGCATAATGATTACAACATTTTCTTGTGTTTGCCAGTTTTAAGGTCGGGGTAATTGGATCTTCGATCAGTGAATTTTTGTGGTTTTTTTTTTGTATGTATGTGTTTTTTTTCGAACTCTTTTTACAAGCCAGACGCATTTGCCAATGCATTTTTACCGCATAAGCACACACTAGCACTGGGCGGCGAGCCACTGGGCAGCACAACACGAAAATGGCGGCCATTTTGTAATCCGCATGTGGCTGGGTAATCACCCCTAAGCCCCGCTTTTCCACTATCCGCCCCTCACACGTGCGACGGTTTTTGCCGGGTTTTGCTGTAGTGTTTCTTTCCTGTTTTGTTTTGCAGCATTATGTGGTCGCTTGTCGCTGCATTTTCCCCCTATATCTGGTTTTTCATCGCCAACGCCATAGCCATAGCCCTTTCCCGGTATCTCCATCGCTCTGTGATTTCGTTTGGCGATTTTCGGCTATTTTTGGTTTTCATTTTTCAGACCTCAAACAGCTGCAGATCGATCGATTTTTTAAAGCTTAGCCAAATGGGGCGAGTGCAGGCAGCCTTTTGGTCAGCTTTTGGCTAATTAGAACGGTGGTAAGGGAAGACATTTGCCAGCCAAAAAATAGCAACATTTATCAGAGAGAATTTCCGTGACTGGGTGCCAGAAAATATGAAATATCTTCCTAGTTGCTGGCACAAACAACTTTATCAAAACTTAAAGAACTTTATAATGCTCCTTAACTCCTGCTGTGTGTGCGTGTGTGTGGGGTATGCTGTAATTCAATTGTTGAACACTTTTTGACAAATTCTCGCGGCAGCCACTTGGAAATCAATTTGCCAGCTAAATTGACTTCCATTCTCAGCCAAAAGACTGCTGCCAGCACAACAAAAAAAAAAAAACTTAGAAATAAAACTTGCCAACTTCCAGCGACGACTTCTTTCTCACGACATTTCTCTTCACCAATCTCCTTTTCAGATGGCGAAATCCTGCGCGTTCTGGTGAACAGCTCGGCCCAAATCAAATGCGATGTGGGTTCCAGCCAGGCCGACGACAAAGTGCTGCTGGTGGTTTGGTACAAGAATAATTTACCCATTTACAGGTAGGTCAATCTGAGCACTACGAGCGCGTGCATCTGTATATGTATCTGTATCTGTAAATGTATCTGTGTCTATATCTCAATTCCTTTGACAGCTACGACACACGTGGCGCCCACGCAGGCACCCCATCGCACTGGCGGGACGAGGAGGTCCTCGAGGATCGGGCCGTCTTTCGCACGCACAAGGAGCCGGCGGAATTGATTATAAATCCGGTTAAGGTAACGACCAATCCCCCTCACCTCCGCCACTCGCGAGTGTCAACAGCGCGGCGCTCTATAATTGGAATTTCATTTCAGGAAAAGGATGCGGGCAACTTTCGCTGTCGCGTGGACTTCAAGCTTTCGCAGACCCGGAACAGCAATGTCAATTTGGAAGTTGTCGGTGCGTATACCCAGAACCGAAAGATGTCAGGAATCCAATATACTTGCCTCACACACGAATAAATATTTGATAGGACCTAAATACGTTTTAATTAACAAAAAATCAAGAGGCTTGAAGAAGAACTATGAGCAACTCAATATTTATAAGCATTTAAGTTTAGATTTTAAAAGGAAAAACATGAATTTTATTGATTACTAAAAGCGTAGAAACTAAAACAAATTTGGTGGCAATGAATAAGAACAAATTATTATATGAATTTAGAAACTAATAAAAATTAATGCTTACGCAGTTTACAAAGGACAAAAGGACAATATATACAAAAGCGTCCTTTGGAATTGTTAGTATCTTAAATCGAAAGGTTTGCTTAATTTATATACAAAGCGCAGACAATCATATAAAAATCAGATCTTTTCCTGTTTGTCCAACTCAAATCTCAATTAAAATATTATTTACTTTGACCGTTTTAAATATAAAAACCAGTAATAAATATATAAACAATCTGCGTGCATACAAAATCAACAATCCCATAAATAAATACACATGGCCAGCCAGAAACGATTATAAAAGCAATTAATATTTGTTTCGTCCGCACACATACCGAAGCAAACGAATTGCACATAAATTAGCTGAAATGATTTTTCGGTTAGCCGCAAAACTTACAATTTACAATTTGAGTAAAAGCGATGTATCAATTTGCATTGCTTTTGACAATGCCAAATTGTTTCTGATTTGCGGCTGTTTAAAATTTTAAATAGTTAAACAGTCGTAGTAAATGAATTTTGTTTTGTTTTCAGTGCCGCCGATGGAGCCAATTATCTTCAACGAGCGTCGCCTGCGAATAGATTCAAGGGCAGGTCCCTATGAAGAGGGTGGCAGCCTGGAAGTGACCTGCGTCGTCTACGGAGGTAAGTCACAGGAATGCTGATCGAAAACTCTTAGAACTGGATGTGGGGCAGTATTATTTCAGCGAAATAAAATATTAATTGCTGGCCCTATAAAATGCAATCGATAATTAAACTTTACAAGTGGATGTAAAAACATAAAAGAATTCGGCACGAACACAATCAAAAATTAAAATCGCGCCAGTGCCCGGGAGTGGGTAACTAAGTTTTGTTGGCATGCAAACAATGGCACGAGCATAAACAAAAACAATAAGCAAGGCGGCGGGTGGGAACGTAAAGTTCAATTGTAAAGAAAGCGAACAGAATAGTCGGAGAAACAGATATTAAAAGGCTATTTGAGGCAAAAAGCCAAGAATGTTTCGCAAATGTGTTGCCTTAACAAAAGGATTCAAAATGCTCAAGAGTAAGAAAAAATGAAAGGAAAACGGGAGGGGCCGCGATAGTCAACAGCCTTTGTTATCTATGATTTCCAGGGCGATCCGTTAAACATGAGTAAACGGAGAAAAAGTCTTCGAATTTTAGCTCATACAAATAAAAATAAATGTATATTATTAGTAACAATAGTATTTAAAAGTATTCATTGCCAAGTGTAGCTTTTATCATAACCCTCTAAGAATATTCCCTTTACAAAGTTATTAAAAATCTCTTAAATAACATAACATTTATTTGATATATGGACAAATAAATGACAATATAACTGATAAACTTTTGAATCCTTTTCTCGTTGTGTATAATCAGATAGTCGCCCACAAAACCCTTAAGTCAATTGTTGTTGGAGAGAGCCAAAATAAAGATGGGTTGATCGAATTAAATCCCCGAGAAATACGAGGCTGCCAGCGAACTCAGTCAAGACCGAGAGTCGGAATTCGAGAATCCAGAGCTGTTTCCTCCCTAGAAGCCGTCACAGTGCTCGACATAAGTATGTCAGCAGGCAACGACAATCGCGTGCTTTATCGCTGCGTACTCCCCTTTGTTTTCTGGGTCTGGGCGGAAGTGAAACCACTTTGAATGGTTTGACATTTCAACGTTGACATAAAATAAATCACCCAGCAAGCAAACTGCACTTGAAACTGCCCGGCAACTGTTAACTGGTCAGTAGTTTTCTGGGCGGAACTGTTGGGTGGTTGCCGCGAAAGGGGTAACTGTGAAATGAAAAAAAAAGAAAGCACGAAAATTGGGCACTCAAAATGTTGTATGTGCCAATTAAATGGGGGCAAGAAAAATGTTGCCAATGTACAAATGTGAATACATACAAGATGGGGGGACATTTGGATGTGGTGGGCGGAAGGGTGGAGCGGACAACCAAGTTGTTGACAAGGCAAAAGGAAGTCTGTTGATGTTGGCAAATGAGCGAGGGGGAGGAGAAAGAAATTGGAGTACTTGAAACTCGTAAAAAACAAGGGGGAGCATGGTAGTATGTGTGGTCAGGCTCGTTGACAGTTGAAACGAACAAATTGATCCGAGTTGTAAAGAAAAGGACTGCGCTCTAACAAAATTATATTATTAAAAGTATGCAGCATAAAAATATAAAATGCAAAAAAAGCAAAAAAAGTTAAGCTTAAAATTTTATTTAATTGCACTGTGTGCAACTACATATATAATTGAATAATATTTTGAATCTTATATAAAGCTTAGCTTTAAACACTGTAAAACATTAATTTAATAAAAGAAAATTAAAAAAAAAAAATTTACGAATAAATTTCGAAAACTGTGTCTTTTGATTTCCAAATAATATGTATAACAGAATTAATAATAAATCATTAAAAAGGTTAGTTTAGAGAATGTTATTTATTTATTTTTATACCCTTGCAGAGGGTATTATAATTTCAGTCAGAAGTTTGCAACGCAGTGAAGGAGACGTTTCCGACCCTATAAAGTATATATATTCTTGATCAGCATCACTAGTAGAGTCGATCTAGCCATGTCCGTCTGTCCGTCCGTCTGTCCGTCTGTCCGTCTGTCCGTCTGTCCGTCTGTCCGTCCGTTTATATGCAAACTAGTCTCTCAGTTTTAAAGCTATCTGCATGAAACTTTCCCAAAAGTTGTCTTTCTATTGCAGGTAGTATATAAGTCGGAACGAGCCGGATCGGACGACTATAGCATATAGCTCCCATAGGAACAATCGGAAAAATAAATGAAAAAAAATTATAACTTTGCTGTTTTTTAATTTTTTGTTTAGTTCTTCGACATATAGTAATGGTTAAATATTTCCGATTTACGGTTTAAATTTCATCAAAATCGGTCGACTATAGCATATAGCTCCCATAGGAACAATCGGAAAAATAATTGAAAAAAAATTATAACTTTGCTGTTTTTTAATTTTTTTTTTAGTTCTTCGAGATATAGTAATGGTTAAATATTTCAGAATTATGTTTTAAATTTCATCAAAATCGGACGACTATAGCATATAGCTCCCATAGGAACAATCGGAAAAATAAATGAAAAAAAATTATAACTTTTCTGTTTTTTAATTTTTTGTTTAGTTCTTCGACATATAGCAATGTTTAATTATTTCAGAATTATGGTTTAAATTTTATCAAAATCGGACGTCTATAGCATATAGCTCCCATAGAAATAATAAAAATTTATAAAATAACTATCTAATAATTGAGCTGCAAATCATCATAGTTTCAATGTTTTTCAGCATATACTCAAGTAAATCATAATTTAAATGTTTTCAAAAGTATTTAATTCATGCAATAGCTGCAAGGGTATATGAACTTCGGCTTGCCGAAGTTTGCTTTCTTTCTTGTTTTTTTTAATTCTATTAGAACTTTCACCATGTCCCAAGAAATGCTTTGATACAGTAAAAATTTAACTTGTCCATGAATTAATTCAGTTTCTTGTAGTGCACAAGGAGACTATTGTCCTTTAATAGAACAAGCCCTTCCCTAAGCCGCTGAACATCCCAATTATGTTGGAACAACTTGTTAATGGTGTGAAATTGAAAAGCTTGCCGTCCTACTGAAATCTTAAACAGCGGGCGGAAATAAATTGCAGGTCAATGCTGACATTATGCTCAGTCCGGCACCATCTCCGTTTCCATTCTTAGCAGTTTTCTGTTTTGGGTCTGGTGTGGTCAGGGCTTTGGCATTCAACATGCAATGTCCATTACAGAAATTGCAATTCTGTGGCCAAAACAAAAAGCCAGCAGCATGGAAGGGGCTACGGCATAAAGTGCTGAAAAAGTTGCCACTTAAACAAGTGCAATCAGCAGAAGTAAGTCAAAAGCGGTAGGCGATGAGGAAAGAGCGACCCAGGATGGTAACGGCCGGTGGATGGATGGCGGGGAGGTTTTAGCCTGTTTGGGCTTAAGAGTGTGCGAAATCGACAAAGGAGCAGTAAATTTTATTGCAGCCTAGGAGGTGGGCCACAATTGCAAATGAGCGCGACACGCCAGTCCCGAAAAACGCCAGGGAAATGGGGAGCGAAATGAAGTTATAAACCAGCACAGTCTGTGTGGGTAGTAAAAATTACCAATCTTCCCCGAGTACCCCAATCCAAATCATAAAGAATATATACATTGGAACTGAGGGCAGCCATTGTGCGCTGGCATTGGAAGTCAGGGGGAAAAGTGGGCGAAAGTCCTGGGCTTACGTGGCCACTAATGCATAATATTCAGCGTTGCCTTCTTTTGCACGTCATGAATTTTACACACAGTGGCTTCTGCCCCCTGACTCCAATACCCCTTCTCATCCTTTATCCGGCAACTCTGCGGAGCACATTGTATATTGAAAGCGCCAGTTTGCGGTCGAAAGCATCAACTAAACCGAAGAGGGACATTTTTGTTTAGCATATCGGTTACCCTCTGATCTTCTGAAATTTAAAATACGGTCCCTTGCCAAATTATTCCATATACTACAGTAAAAGAATTTTATTATGCGGAATAAAAGCTTGTCATTTCGAAAGTATAAAAATTGCTTAACTTGGAAACTATTATTTTATTCCTGCCAATATAGTATCGTCAATTAAAGAGCTCATATACCCTTTATTCAGTGCACAGCAAAAGTGTGCTAAAAATGGCTTTTAGCCTCTTTTCTATTTTTTCGCTCTGTGTGTCAAACGGAAGTGCAGGCGTTTTCCGCTTTGGCCAAAGCGAGCGTTGGCCATATTGTTATTGTGCTAGCTGTTGTTGTTCTAGGCAGGTTGCCGAGTACAAAATTGTGTGCATTTTTATAAAAATTTCTCTCCTCACTTTTTTTCTGTTGGTATTATTATTATTACGACTATTGTTGTTGCGCTGTTGTGGCGTATTTTGGAGCACGGAAGTGCAACAATACGGGGCCATGCAACAACACAAGTTATTTACTAAAGCGAAATAGGAACAAGAGGACGGTGGAAATACTTAAGAAGCCGGCGCAGAAGAAGAAAAATGTGTTGTCTGCCACAAAAGCTTGAATAATTTCAACTTAATTTACTTTCCAATTATGTTTTTCTGAAAAGGTGCCGTAAGTGGTATAAACCTTGAAAGTATCGGTAATTACATTTGGTTCGTTTTAAATATTTAACAATTTTTAGACAAACAAGTTTTTTTTCGTTTTATTTTTTTTACTGCTCTACTTTTAAAATCATTCAACGGCTTACTTCATAAACAAAGTACAATTGACAATTGAAGGTGGCAACTTCTGTTGTTTCTTAAAAGGACCCCCGAAGCCAGCAAGTTTTAAATTTATTTTACAGCTTCCTCTCTGGACAAAAGGTCAAATGCCAAAGAGCACACAAAGGAGCGAATCAGAGGGAATGCGAACTGAATAAACAGAAAGCGTACCAAAGACAACAACATAAAATATATTTATGTGGCATGGCAGAGCTTCCTCCTTTTACTGTTTTGTTACTATCACGAGCCCTAAATTTCTGCTGCTGTTTCTTCTATTTCTTCAGGGCTTTGTTTGCGTGGTCCCTTCACCGCACTCGAGTTTTTAGCAGTGTATCTCTTTCACCCGAGTCAAATCCAAAGCCAAAGCAAATGCAGATGATGTAAAGATATGCAAAACTAAACAAGCAAATATTTCAGCATTGCATAACTAAAGCACATGGTCTATGTTTTCATATGCATGTTGAAGGGTGTCTCTTGCTCTCAGTTGTTTATTCCACAGAGAACAAAATAAATAAAAATTATTAACAGTACTTTTTTAGCATCTCATATATTTGCTATAAATCAAAGTAAATAAATAGATAGTTTTTTAAATTGTACTATATTTAATAACACTATCAGATTTATTTCCCCATTAGATATTATAAATCAAAAAATAGTATCAAATGAGAAAACTACATTTAAAACTTGTTTTAAACTTTTTTTATAGACTGAAAATTTCAATTGCTTAACATAGGTATTTGGAAATACCAAGTGGTGTATATTCTTCCCGCTGTGCATTTCTGAATAATGTCGGTGAACAGAACAATGCGAAACCAGAAATAAGGACTCTTTGAGCTCCGGTAACGTGTGTGCAAAAGTGCATAAATGAGTCGGACTTCGCTGGCAGCGGCTTTAAGTCTCCGCCGAAAGGAAACGCTAAAAACTGGCACGCAGTTTGAATGCTGCTGCTCATTAGGAAGTGGGTGTGGCTGTGGGTGGTGGGCCGGTGGGCAGGTGTGCAGGAGGGCAGGAGCACGCCAGGTGGACATGGCAAAGAAATGCTAATGTCGCTTTTGCCGCTACTTGGCTACTGCTTTTCTGCTGCCTGGCACAAAAACCCGTTTTTTGATGCCTGCTCAAAAAATGGCAAAGCACTTGGCAAAAAAGCAAAAGGAAATAAATGAAAGGAGCGTGGTTTTTCGAGGAATGTTGGAAAAAATACTCTGTTAATAGTATAGTTCTTATTGGGTTTTCTTTTAGTAACTAAACCATTGATTAAAATTCTCAAAAGTTGTATTTAATGATCATTATAAATTACCTAATATGTTGATTAAGAAAAAACTTTTTTTTAGTATTTAATTTATTTAGTTACATTTAGTTAGTTAAATATACAAAAAATTATAAGAAGTGAAATGTTTTATAAATTTAAAAAATAAATATTTTATTTGCTTATATAGCAAGCAAAATGCAGTTTAAGACAGCAAAAGTTAGAATTTTAGTGCTTACTTTTTGGATAAGCCAGGGTATGGAAATGCAGGATAAGAGAAAGGAAACCAGGGCGAAAGAGTAAAAAACTAGTGCAAACTTTGTGTTTGTTTGTGCGGAGAGTAAATGCAAGTCAGCTTCTGGTGTGTGCGTGGGAGTTTGCGTTGGCTGTGGCACCTTATGTTGACATTAAAATACAGCAGACATCACCTGATTCTTGCAAGCAAACTTGGTCTGGGTTTAAAGTGAAAGCAAGAGTTATAAAATTCTGAAACACAGAAGGGCTTTAAGTGATTTAAAGACAGCAACAATTGCAATGCACAATCGTACTTTTTACATGCGTTTTCCCTGGCTTTTCAGTTGTTTTTTGTTACGTTTTTTCGATGTATTTTTGATGGAGGAGAGGCCAATAAATAACAAGCAACCATTAAGCCGCCTTGCTACATATGCGCTAATCTACTCCAGCACAAACACTCACACACAGAGGGCCTTCTGCTAGTATGTGAAATATTTTCATAAACAACATAAAACTCTACCGAATGGCAGTTATTAATCAAAGTAATGTGCGTTTACCTCTCTGTATATCGGCATACGTATATGAAAATCTATATGTGAGTGTGTGACACATTTTTCAAACATATCAAGTGCAGTTTTTGGCCTATCCGTGGCTTAGTTTTAGTGAATTTCCAGGTGGATTTAATGGCACTTGTTCAGACGCATTGCTTTTTATGACTACTCATCAAGCATTTTGCGCAATAACTTAGTAATAATAGAAAAATATACAACAAGCATGTCAGAGTATTTATTTGTGTCAACGCCTGACACTGACAGAAAAGTAATGAGAACTCTTGTTATTAAATAATGTTTAGTTAAATGACTTTGAGTTTAAAATGACAAATGGAACTAGATGAATCCCCTCTATACATCCCTTAAGTTGCAGTTTAAGTTTGATTAATTATTTTTTTACAGTGTATTATTTGCTCTCCACACAGTAGTAAGTAACCGACCACCCGTTGCTATTAAATTAATGTGCGCTCATATACGCACACAAAAGCTAATTTCAGCGCTTGATTAAGTTGAAGTCGTTAAAAGCGGCCAAGTGCCGCACGCTGCGTATGAGTAATGTAGCTGTACGTCTGTGTGTTGATTTAAGTGGACTCCACTCCTCAGCGATTGCACCACTGTGGTGGCAAGATAACATCGCCCACCAGCCAACTAAATTAAAAGTTAAAGGAATAGATTATAACGAGCTCTTTAACCCAGGAATGACACTTGTCTAGTGAACTTTTCACCATGGAAAAGTTCCGTAACTGAAGAATAACCTGTTATATATATTATAAAATATTTTATAAAATATCTTCTGAAACACTTACGAATTTAGCACTATAAATTAATAAACTTAAGTGTATTTATAAACAATTTAAACAATTTTTTTGCAGGTTCTCCGCCACCGACTGTCATCTGGCTGATGAATGGCCAGCTCCAGAACAGCGTTGTCGATTACACATACGATGGCGCCATCAACAGCAAACTGGTGGTTCGCAACCTGTCACGAATCCACCAACATGCGGTCTACACCTGCCAGGCCAGCAATTTCCACAAGAAATATGTGGCCACCAACATAACTATTGAGCTCTACTGTGAGTATAAGACTGCTGTTTGTAAAATTAAAAAAAAATACTTTTCTTTAAAGCTAGTCAATCAGTGTGTGAGAGTCTTGAGAGTCTAGTTTGTATTAATGGAATTTGTTCAAAATACAAGTTGTGCATTTATTTTCCAATTTAAAGTTAGTGAATTCAAAACACTGTCTGCATTGAATCGAGTTTAAGCGACCCAAATATGGTGCTAAAAGCGTTTTGCCAAACAATTTATTTATTTATTGTATTTATTTCACTTTTTTTGATCGCTTTTAAGAGTTGCGATAAAAGTTTTAACAAATAGCTGTGCAGATAAAAACAAACTGCCAGCCACCCCAAAAAAGTAGGAAAGAACCCAGAGAGGCTGAGTAGGAAAAAATAGATAATAAAATGGCTTATGCAAATATAACGAAATGCAAGCGGCAACAGCAGAAACATTGCATGCGATACCCGAATGCCAAAAAAAATATGCACAGAATAGGGACAACAGAAATTCCTGTGCGTAGCTTATTCCATTTACCATGGCCTCTGACCTGGCACATATTGTACGCCCCCGCACCATATCGAACTCTGTGTTTTTATTAATATAGAAGTTGCGTTCAGGTTAGTGGACTGCACATGACCCGAATGGATTTATTATTTTGTGACAATTTTTTAAATGCCCCTTTTGTACGCTTTCCACGGGCAGGAGCAATTGTTAAATTGAATTAAATTGTTGCCCATTTCGTGTGATTGTCAGCGAGTGTACGTGGCTAGGAGATTTGTGTTAGGAAAAGCTGCTTTGCTGCAAGTTTATTTGTAGTAACAAAAATTAATTTTCATATGGGATAACGAGATAAATAAAATGCATTGGAAAGTTAAGCTTTCTATATGAAAACCAAATAAATGGCATTTATGATGTCCCAACTAAATATTTTCAAAACTCTGAAAACGAGTTTATTATACCCTTGCAGAGGGTATTATAATTTCAGTCAGAAGTTTGCAACGCAGTGAAGGAGACGTTTCCGACCCTATAAAGTATATATATTCTTGATCAGCATCACTAGTAGAGTCGATCTAGCCATGTCCGTCTGTCCGTCCGTCTGTCCGTCTGTCCGTCTGTCCGTCCGTCTGTCCGTCTGTCCGTCTGTCCGTCTGTCCGTCCGTTTATATGCAAACTAGTCTCTCAGTTTTAAAGCTATCTGCATGAAACTTTCCCAAAAGTTGTCTTTCTATTGCAGGTAGTATATAAGTCGGAACGAGCCGGATCGGACGACTATAGCATATAGCTCCCATAGGAACAATCGGAAAAATAAATGAAAAAAAATTATAACTTTGCTGTTTTTTAATTTTTTGTTTAGTTCTTCGACATATAGTAATGGTTAAATATTTCCGATTTACGGTTTAAATTTCATCAAAATCGGTCGACTATAGCATATAGCTCCCATAGGAACAATCGGAAAAATAATTGAAAAAAAATTATAACTTTGCTGTTTTTTAATTTTTTTTTTAGTTCTTCGAGATATAGTAATGGTTAAATATTTCAGAATTATGTTTTAAATTTCATCAAAATCGGACGACTATAGCATATAGCTCCCATAGGAACAATCGGAAAAATAAATGAAAAAAAATTATAACTTTTCTGTTTTTTAATTTTTTGTTTAGTTCTTCGACATATAGCAATGTTTAATTATTTCAGAATTATGGTTTAAATTTTATCAAAATCGGACGTCTATAGCATATAGCTCCCATAGAAATAATAAAAATTTATAAAATAACTATCTAATAATTGAGCTGCAAATCATCATAGTTTCAATGTTTTTCAGCATATACTCAAGTAAATCATAATTTAAATGTTTTCAAAAGTATTTAATTCATGCAATAGCTGCAAGGGTATATGAACTTCGGCTTGCCGAAGTTTGCTTTCTTTCTTGTTACTAAATATGTTTAAATTCCACAGAAGACTTTATATCATTAAATGTTAAATTTAAATCCAAAAATATAGAACGACGATTTTTTTTATTATCATCTCAAAAAACATCGAACTTCATGTTTAAGTTCCTTCTCATGGCGCCTACTTTACTAATTTTCCTTGTTCTTTAATATTTTGTTGGATGCTTAGTTATTAGGCCCATGGCATTGCGCTAACAGCCAAAGATTGGCCATAGAATTTTATGGCACTTAGGCGCGTCTGTCATGGCTCTCAAAACGCCAAAGCAATTGGACGTCAATTCCTACTTAGGCACCCAGTACCCGAAAAGTAATGTTGAAATGTTTCAGCGACAGCAGCTGGTGATGCGCCAATTTGATATTATTGCCTTGAGTTGGGGTTGGGGCAAATATTAGGACTAAGAAAAGCATAAGAATATGTCGCACTTGCAGGCACATAAAAGTTAACACGCCAATAAGGAATGCTTAGGACGAGGCTGTGGAATTTCGATAACTTAGTCAACTAATGTGGCCACAGCCTCGTACTGCGTTTAACAAATGACCTTGAAACGTATATAGTAGTGGTGGACTTAACCAGGTTTTTTCACTTTTCCTTAACACAAATTCTGCTGTTTTTTGTTAGCATTAGCAACAGAATATGGGCATGGGAAACAGGGCAGTTGTATAATAAGTACGACCGTAATTAGTTAATTTTATGGCCACCAACAATTAGATTACGCCCGTCACGATACTCAGTCCCCCTCACAATACAGTTATGAGAGTTCCTCATTAGCACTTAGTTTCAGCTACCAATAGGGCTGGGTGAACCCGAAATGCAGCATTTAATTGAATTAAAATGTTTCCTCTGCATTTATCATTTTGCTTGCAAGCTGAGGCTTCCTTGGGGCTTGGAATCATAAATTTTAATTGCTAAATCATCGCTATCAAATTAGAAATAAGCTATTGAAAATATTTAAACTTATTTTGTTTTTGAAATTTCTCTAGAAAATTTAATATAAAGGATATTTACAATTTAAAGGATATTTTTGCATAATTGGTCGCGAATCAGGGCCTTGAGGCTGGTCCTCTATGCTCTCTGGTGTAGTGCGTTTAATTAAACATTTAAATGATTTTCCAATGCAAATGTGCATAATTAATTTAATTACAATAAAGCGCTTCTGCAGCAGCAGCAACAACCGCATTGCCTACGAAAACAATAAAAAGTAAAATAATATTGTAATGTATGCACGGAAAAAGAGAAAAAAAAGGCATTGAAATAAATAAAATTATAGATAGCTGCATGTCTCTCTTTCTCATTCTGCCTTCCTTTTAGTTTTCCTTTTTTATTATCGCATTTGGGCTTAACTGAAGTGTCACACGCCTTTAAATTAGCGCATAAAACTCGCGGCCAAACGCAGAAAATATAAAAATTACAGAAAAAAGTAACAACAGTTGGCTTAACTTATTTAATTACAGGAAATGTAACAATATATTATTAAAGGTATCTGTAAATCTTTACCCTTTCATCAGTTAATGGGCTTGTGAATGTGTAAGCCTAATAATAAAGATATAAAAGTAGGAATCTATTAAGACTGTATTTTAACCAAAAACAAATATTAAACTATTTCAAAAAATAAATATATTGCAAAAGAGTAATATCAAACGATATTTTAGTATTTGTTAGCACTTTCCAATTACAAACCAAAGAGCGTAATTTATAATTTTCCATGAATGCGCCAAAACGCAACAAATAAATAAAGGTAAGAAGCACAAAAACATTTGCAATGACAGCGATAACTATGGGAAATTGTGTAATGCTGATAATGAACCTGGACTCTGAAGCGTTACGTGACCATATTAGGGTGGCGAAAAAAGAACTATGTTTGTTATTGTTTATTTGTTTGTCCAATTTTCAATTTTGTGGACAAACAAATTGCTGTCATCATTAGTATTAACAAATATTCAAATTACATAAATGTAATTGCATGAATATTTATTGGCTGAAATGTAATGCATTGTTTGTGAACTACCAATTGAACAAAAGCCCATAAGCCAATTATATATTAAACAGTCATTGCAATGCGGAAACGATATATCCGCGTTAAGCTTTTTAAAGTTTTCGATGAACTTAGGCAAGCGGAACGAAAAACCTTAATGAGATTTTTATACCCTTGCAGAGGGTATTATAATTTCAGTCAGAAGTTTGCAACGCAGTGAAGGAGACATCTCCGACCCTATAAAGTATATATATTCTTGATCAGCATCACTAGGCGAGTCGATCTAGCCATGTCCGTCTGTCCGTCCGTCTGTCCGTCTGTCCGTCTGTCCGTCTGTCCGTCCGTTTATATGCAAACTAGTCTCTCAGTTTTAAAGCTATCTGCATGAAACTTTCCCAAAAGTTGTCTTTCTATTGCAGGTAGTATATAAGTCGGAACGAGCCGGATCGGACGACTATAGCATATAGCTCCCATAGGAACAATCGGAAAAATAAATGAAAAAAAATTATAACTTTGCTGTTTTTTAATTTTTTGTTTAGTTCTTTGACATTTAGTAATGGTTAAATATTTCCGATTTACGGTTTAAATTTCATCAAAATCGGACGACTATAGCATATAGCTCCCATAGGAACAATCGGAAAAATAAATGAAAAAAATTATAACTTTGCTGTTTTTTAATTTTTTGTTTAGTTCTTCGACATTTAGTAATGGTTACATATTTCCGATTTACGGTTTAAATTTCATCAAAGTCGGACGACTATATCATATAGCTCCCATAGGAACAATCGGAAAAATAAATGAAAAAAAATTATAACTTTTCTGTTTTTTAATTTTTTGTTTAGTTCTTCGACATTTAGTGATGGTTAAATATTTCAGAATTATGGTTTAAATTTTATCAAAATCGGACGACTATATCATATAGCTCCCTTAGAAATAATAAAAATATATAAAATAACTATCAAATAATTGAGCTGCAAATCATCATAGCTTCAATGTTTTTAAACATATACGAAAGTAAATCATAATTTTAATGTTTTCAAAAATGTTTAATTCTTGCAATAGCTGCAAGGGTATATGAACTTCGGCTTGCCGAAGTTTGCTTTCTTTCTTGTTATACAATTATAATTGTATGGTCTCTTGTTTTCCTGCAAAAAATATTAAATAAAAATAAATATTTAAATAAAGTTGAAAATGTATTGGGAGATGTGGACCAAAATTACAGATGCTTTTCCTCGATTTGTGTCGGTTGCTTTGCCTTTGCATTTTTCGACTGACATTTATCATTTCATATAATGCGCCCTTTTATGGAAAACAGAAATATTTGCTGCCCTATGCTCGACATTGTTGCACTACCCAGTTTTTCTTGCTGCAATTTCTGTTGCTGGTGGCGATCGTAATTTGCTGCAATTAATTTTAATTGCATTGCCTGTCATTTCCATTTCCATTTCGATTTCGATTTTTCACACACAATTTGAATAAATCAACAAAAAGCTGCTGCCGCATCAAACAACACGCAGAAAGAGTAAAACAAAACTAAAAAGCGTCAGGGGTGGTGAAAGTAAAAACCAATCTTAAATGTCATTTAAGCAAATAAATTACGGATGGAAATTAATGTGCGTCTATAATCAAACTGTTTGCATTGCAGTGCGTCCTCTTCTGGTAGAAATCAGCTTCAACAACCAGCCGATGTCAGCAGATCGAAAGTACGAGATCGAATGCCAGGCGATCGGATCGAGGCCGCCGGCCAAAATCACCTGGTGGATGGGCAACCTCGAACTACATGGGCACAGTCAGAAGGTAATTGGCAAATATATTTTCTTATTTACTCACAAAATAATTGATTAATTTTACTACAGGTCTCTGAGGATGGCAATGTAAGCACTTCGGTGCTATCGATCACACCCACAAGAGAGGATCATGGCAAGGCATTGTCCTGCCGGGCAACCAATGAGCTCGTACGGAATGGCATCCGAGAAACGGCCATGAAATTGAATGTTTTCTGTGAGTATATATAACATAAAAAAATATATATTATTCATCAATTAAATAATTGATACTGAAACGTTTTAATTAAGCCTATTATTTGCATCGTTTTTTACGGGTGCAAAAATCTTAAACGAAAACATTTTATACATCCTGCTTTTATTTAAAAGATTAAAGGCAATTTAACTGGTTATTTGCTGACCATCAGTTATAAATGCGATAATTACCAACAAAGTATTTATTTACATGTAGAGTATTTTATATTAATTAAGTTGATTAAATAAAATATGATCAATAAATATCAAACTTTTAAGCGAACCAAATGTTTTTGGGGTAGGCAAAAAAAAAAAATTAATGAATGCAAAAATGAATAAATTAATAGAGTCTTAATTCTGTCTTCTAGATTCGGGTAAATTATCTAATTCCTGTTTTGGTCTTGAAATCAATCAAAACATTGTCAACTGTTCTCCTGGAATATTTTGTGTGCCAGGAACAACCTGCCCATTCCGCATTAATAACAGCCCGTTTTGACACATGCCGCTGCTTTATGAGTGCCCCATAAACCATCGATGGGCCCTCGTTCTGGTTCTCGTGCGATCCCATAAACTATGTCAACCGCTTATCGCCCATGTCCTTTGGGGAATCAATACTGTTTTGCATACCAATGCCATAGTGACAGGACGGGCTGGAGGCGGGATTTCGGAACTCTGTTGCAAATATTGGCGGGCTATACATAATACATTCCATTTTTTTTTCCGTTCCAATGGCTCGTATGTCAAACGTTTGTTTTATGGGCCGCGTCAACAATGTACTGGGGGTAAAGTTTGTTAATAAAATTTCTATGGCAAAATATTAAAAACGCGCGCGGCCAAGAAAGTTGTGCACACACACACACGAAAAGCCGGAAAGCTCACTTAAAGCCACACCCACACACCGCACATATGCGCGGATAGCCCTTAATGTTTCAATAGTCTTGGGGTCTCGTGTCCTCATCTTCTGGGCTGTGACGACAGCGTCTTGGGCAAACAGTTGCCACGTCTATTATCTAAAAAGCTTGCCGCCTCGTTGTTCCCCAATGCTATTGAAACTTTTACTCCTTTCGGTGCTGCGGCGATGATGGGGATGCTGCCGCGTTTGGCTGCAAATGATGCACTGGGAGAAATGCTTGCCTTAAAATCAGGGTACAACATTTTTCTGCCTTTTTTAATGTAAAATATTTTAGCAAATAAATATTTCAAGCAGTGAATTTACTCTTTTTTTGTAGGTATGATTCCACAGTTTTGTAGTAAAATTAACGAGACGAAACTCTAGTCAAAACAATCTTGGCTTTCGATTTTGTGCTAAGATTTTATCACAGTGCTGTCTTGTGCAAAGAGTCAGGCGCAGCTTCTGCGCGAGCGCTGATATAAAAAATTAGATAACAATTTCAATTTCCATGCTCATTTACATGTTTATAGCGTGCTTAAAATATTTTGGACCCTCTCCGTTTTCCTGCTCCTGACACTTCCTGAGATTTCATATTTCCCGGCTCCCAACCTTTTTTCGTTGCCACGAAAAGATTTTGTGTCTTTTTTAAGCGCGTTCTTTGTTTGTCTCCTGCGTCGGGTGTAAATTGAAAAGTTGATGCAATGTCGACTGCTACCAGTGTTGAGATGGGGCAGGTTAAAGTTGACGCTGCCAATAATTTTCTCATTATATTACCTCACATTTAGCCGGGCCATAATAAAGTTATCTTTAATATCTTAATTCGAGCACCTCAGCGCAGACAGCCCTTATTTTCCAGACAATCAACTCCGGTTAGGCTCAGCAAAATTAAATCAACAGGAAATGACAGGCCCACAAAAATGTAAGGCATATCCGCGATAAACTTAATGATGAGGCAGATTTTGGTTTCAAAAAAATCACGGACTGTAGACCTTTTAAGGATCAGGGTTAGAATAAGTATTAGCACTTATTTTGTGTTGTTAGGTGGTACAAATAAATATTTACAAACGAATTTGGATATTTTTCTATACCTTTAAATATTATTCTAGATTTGTTTTTAAGTACTCCAGAATTTGTTGTTATTTTTAAATAGTTTGTGACTTCATTAAATAGTTTCCCAGTTATTTATTGAACCTAAAATGAATTGCAAACTTTTCGATAAAACTAAATTACCCTCAGGAAGGATATAAAGGAATAAAAGTGGAAAATAAGCTTTAAGCTTAATGCAATTTATATGCCAGCAGAGGATAGTGGAATCAATTTAAGGACTGCTAACGAAAACTGGTTCAACTTTGTGCAAAGGACAATGACAGACCTTACCCACACTCATACACCCATACACAAGCACCCACACAGTGGTAAACACACAGATGCAGTCCTTCCTATTGCAACTGCAGCTGAAGCATAATGTGCCACTGGCACTCAAAAGTCGTTACGTTAAGCTGCAGTTACGACTGGGTCGGGCTTGCTTTGGTTTTTCCTCTGGTTTTCGGGACATTCGCTCCACGAGGGATCGGTGGGTGGGCTGGGTCAGGGGTCACCGAGATGGAGGACCATAAAATGCATTAGCCCGACGTAGTTGGCCAGCTTGGCCAGTGACAGTTATTACCACTTAAGCCCATCCTAACCGCAACAGTGTGGCCTGCCAGCCACTTGGAGCTTCCTTCGGAGAACGTCTAGCTGTCATTATGCAGATGAAAAAATATGCGGGGGCTATATAATTTAATTTTAATTATTGTGATTTTAGCAGGATATTAAGCGGCTCGTTCTGTTTTTGTTATTACTTTAGGCTATTAAAAATAATTCTAGTATTTATTTTAAACGGGAAATATATGTGTTTTCTTAACAAGTCTAAATTACATTATTATTTAAGTATTAATTTCTATAAATATTTTAGACACAAATTATTATATTTTTACTCTCTAAAACTTTTGTTAAACCATTTAAAAAATTGTTAAAATTAAAATCACTTAAAGACAACCTCATTTCTCCGAGTGCAAATCCTCTATTTCCTTCGTCCTTTCGTTTCTGTTTAGTTTTCTGTGCCGGCTTAAAGTCATCGCTAATGAACTTGTTGAGCGGGAAAAAGATAGACACAATGAGCGGGACGGGCGAGGCTGGAGCAGTGGGCAAAGTCTTTAAATTATGCAAACTGCTTTGACTCGTTCTTCCTGTCCTCATTGTCACCCCCCCCCCCTTGCCACCCCCCTCTTCCACCCTCATTTATTCGGTTTACGTCCATTCTCTTTCCATTTCTGGGATGGTGTGTGTTAAAGAACTTTTCATTTTCATTAACAAGTCTTTTCAAAAGACGAAATCGGCTTAAAGAAACTTGCTCATAGAACGTGCCACCCCAGAATGCAGAAAAGAAATAGGCAGAAACACTAAGCGGCCAGACCCCCAAGACCAAAACTGCGACTAGGTAAAGTTGCCAAAAACAATGTGCAAAATAATAATAAACAAGTGGAAGGTGGCAAAGAGCCGACAGATAGAAGGCGAAGGCGAAGACGAAGCGACGCTAATCACGGATAAGCCGGGATTAACCCCCTTTTCCCACCCATTTCATGCCTTTCTTGGACTCGAGTTGAAGGATTGTCCAAAACAGCATATTACGTTTGATGGACTCTCCTCCGAGTGAATCCCAATCCAAGTCTAAGTCTCAGCCTTAGTCAGTGAAATACAATGTTTCCTTCAGTGTTTTGATTTTCTTCACCACTTTCTTTGCAGTCATTCCCACCTTGCAGCTGGACCTGGGCTCCAATCTAAATCCGGAGGATATCGAGGAAGGCGATGATGTTTACTTCGAGTGTAAAGTGCATGCAAATCCGGCTGCTTATAAAGTTGTATGGAAGCATAATGTAAGTGAGCAAATAAAAACTTTTCTTGACTTGCAATATTTATGAAGGGCTGTTTGAAATAGAAGAGCTCTTTTTATTGAGTCAGATACAAAGCGAAAAGGAAGAGTGCGGTCTAGGGTGTAAAGTAAACTTTTAGTAAAAAATACCCTTTAGTGTCATATACGATATATTATTTGGAACATTAAGCTCTTGTTTAAATACACACACAATAATATATTCGATAACAGTATTGATTTTAATTTATAATATGTAATAGGTAAGGACTACACTTATTATTAACCGAGAATAATGTAAAAGAAATTTAATTAATATATAATTCAGATCTAGAGCAGGGAATATGAGAAATATATATAAATATTCTATTATATATTATATAATGAATATTTTTCTCTGTTTACTGACCTTTAAACATACTTCAAATGTTTCAGTCAAGGCAATTGAGCGAACAATTGCCGAACTTCCGGCAATTCCCAAGACATTGGCGTGCTTCTCTTACACACGAGCCTCCGTGCGACTAAAATATTATGAAACCGAAATTAAGTGGTCATTTTTACTGAATTATTGGCCAATTATTTTAAGGCAATTGAGTCAAGTGGCTGGCATAAGACAGGGCTTTGGGATGGGAAGAATTTCGAGAGTCCGTACAAGTTTACAAGGCAAATCATTTGTTTATTAGTAGACGCGCCAAAACCTCTCACCACAGCAGCCACAATGGCTGCCAAATAAATGTTATTCAATGCCGAACAAGAAACGAATCAAGTGTATGAATAATATGAATGCTAATTGAATTCATTCACAATGAAGTACATGACCAAACAAAGAGCTAAGCTAAACAACGGCAACAGCAAAACCAACAACTTAGCCATAACTTTTACCGAAAACAACAATAAGCAAATACAAATACTCGAAGACGACCAAAAACTTTTACGTTTTAGGGGGCGGCCAACGAAGGATATTTAGTACAAAAGAACTTCCACAAGACATGAGCGCACGCTTGAGGGTAGGTAGATAAAAACTTTATATGAAATAATAATTTAACCGACAGACAATGGCTTGGTTCGAGTGCTGAATCCATTATAGTCTATCTTACATCGAACAAAATGGTAATTATATAGGGGATACAGACGAAACAGGGAAAGTGAACGTCTGGAAGAATACAGGGGCAATCAATGAGCTTTAGAAGTCAATGTTAAATGCAAATGAACTGACAACAGAATTTTTAAAAGGAAACTAACTTTAAACAGAAACTTAATTGTCCTAACAAAATGAAAAACAATTTTTAAATAGAGTTCTCCAAAACAGTTGATAATAGTTAATATTTGTTTTAAATGTTTTTTGAGTGCTTTAATTGATAATGGCAAAAACAAAACTGGTTAACATTAGCTCAAGTTTTGATATATTTTTTATAACTTAACAGAAGCAGATTTTTATTTGATTTTTATTTTAAAATGTTCAAAACCAATGGCGTAATAGTCTTTAAACGAGACAAAGAAAATGTATTACAGGCTAACAAGCCAGAAAGCGACAGCAGCACAGTTAGTTAGTTTGCAATCGTCACTTACATTTAGCCAGCTCAGCGTGAAATCCCCTACACTGTTCCCTCCGCCTTCCAACTTTTCCCCTTAGCCGAGTGTCATAACAATAAAAGTTCACTGCGGCAGTGCAAAAATGGAAATGAAATGGATACGAAACTAAGCCAAACACACACTGTGAAAACAGTAAAACATGGACAAAGGCAGAGAGGTTAGACAGACAGCCACACTTGGTCGAGCTGTGCACATGGCGTATGCGTAATGAGTTCAAGGCCAAGCGGAAAATTGCAAATGACTTGGACCAAGTGAAGGCGAAGAAGCCAAGTCGGGCGTTCATTAAAAGTCAATTGTTAATTGGCAACGGCGACAGAGACAGAGGCAGTGCAACCTGCAAATGCAATTAAAAGTCAAATCAAGTTATATCAACTCGGTTGCACCCAGTTAACAAGTAAATTAATTTTTGTTTTGCCACCACATCGATTCGGTTTGAACCATTCTTCTTGGCAGAGCAGCCGCAGGGCGAAAGTGGAAAGCATGCAACTTGTCTTCGTCTGTTATTATTCAATTAGACAAGCTGACAATTAACGACGAGCTGGCAAATTAAATTAACAATTAGTTTTATTAAACATGCACACACTCTCACAAACAAACAGCGGAGAAAGTTCTCCGATGAGTGTCTGTGTGCGTGCGAGTAAAAGTTTTACATGTTCATTAACAACAACAGCTAGTGGGAAAGGAAAGAGAACTTTGATGGAATCGTTGCCACAGCAACCAGCTAGCTTCGAATGAATCCGAGTCCCGTCGGCAGCAAAACTTATTTGGCACACACACTGGCATTTATCTGAGTTGCGTCAGGAACCGCAGAAATAGCAAACATAGCCGGAAAATTTGATTAGAGAACAAAGTCGGTGGAAACGACTTTAGAGTTTTCCAGCAACTTGAGCATGAATATTTACATAGTTCCACAAGGCAAATGGCAATGCTTGGTTGGACCATAAAGGCAGTTGGAAATTTACATTGATTTAAATAAATGTTTTCATATCCTATACTCAGCTATCAACTGGAAGTTTAAGGCTAGCAAATACATGTGAATAAAATAAAATTGTTAATTGAATAACAGTTTGTTCATGGTTTTAACCTTGCGTAAGCTTACAAATAAAAATTTGTTTATTTTGAATTTATTTTTATTATATTCTAATTTTTATTATGTACCGTTGTGATCTGCAACTAATGTTTAGAAATTCAAAATCTTTCGTATACAAATACCGACCATTTTATTTATTTCCCAGTAATGATAAATATATCATCAAGAGATTGTGTTTTATATATCAAGAGATTGTCTCACTAAAAATTTAGATTTTCCTAAATAGGAACCAAAAACACGTTTAAGTTGTTTTATAATTTATTATTTCAAAAACGTTGAAGAAAAGTATAAAGTAACGTTTAGTTTTTTAGAGAAACTTTAAAGAAGAGAGGCCGTGTAAAAAGTGCCCAGGGAAAAGCTAAACCAAATCAGTTCAATCAGGCCGAGCCATCAGATAAATTACGGAAACTAATTGGGTATTTATAGTCGGAACAAACATCAGCGACAGACGAACACAAGGGGCGGCGAGGATTGTGATTGTGGCCCTGGGCTCTTGGCGCTTGAGGAGTGGCAGGCAAACATGTCGAAAACACGGCCGAGAGACAGACAAACAGAAATGGCAACGCATAAAATGCGCCATTAGCATTGAGGGGCACTAAAGGGTTGTGCAGACATCATCAAGTCAGCGGGAAGTAGGTGCTGTTGGGGGTGGTGACCTCGAACGGGTGATGGGTGATGGGGGATGGCGGGCGGGCGGAAATTCTGCAGCGGATGTGCCCCAAACTATTTGAAATAATCCTCTACGCCCACTGGGGCGGAACAGCTTTGCTGGCCCTCCTTCTGTTTGCCTTCCCTTACACTTTTTGGTTTTTCTCCTTTTCAGGTTTTTTTTTTATTTTTTTTGGGCTGCGACAACCTTGAACTTTATTTACTTTTCGTATATGCATGGCGACATTTTTATTTGTTTTATGACAACAAGGTCGCTGAGCCAAGCCACAGTTCATTCCCTCCCCCTTTCGGGCTATTTAAGTTAACCCTACGGGAATTGAGGCTGTGCGGAAAACGAGAAAGGTCCTTCGTTCAAGCCGGGCTAACAATGCCTTTGGGACTCTTCTGCACTTTAAGAGTCTTTAAGAGCGAGTCAAGAGAAATGCTAATAGCGACAAAGCATTGTACATAATATGGATACATCTGTTACTGCAATCGGGTTTCTTGTTACTCTGATACTTGGCCAATAGTATCAATCATTTCGCCACAAAGTCAATGGCCGAAATGTGACTAGTAGGCAAATATGGTCATGACTCGGCATTCACCGGCTGTCTAACCATTTAAATAATTGTTTACATCTGCACAATGGAGAGGGCACACACCAGTGGGCCAACAAACAAAAGATGCGGCGTGGTATTCCCAGGATCTACGACCCCTACACAATGCAATCGTATATGAACTTCTGCCCGTTCCATTTTCTAAGCCCTATTTAGTTCTCCAATGGCCTATTATGTACACTTAAAAATAGTAAAACTGTATATGTCAAGATTTTACCAAATTCTGCATAGCAAATAAATAAATAATTTAGCAAAACTTTAGTCAATTAAATCTATTAAAAATATTGTTGAATACTTTTAAACTCTTTATTAATCGATCGATTTTGTTTTTGTAGGTATTAATATTTTTATTAACAAAAGTGTTGATATTTTTGAATAGACATGCACAGATACCAATTAAAAGTGTACAATAGCAGGAAAATCTATTGCCAAACTAACACTTAAATGAATATTTTAAGAACCAATTTTTATATTTTCGAAATTACATGCCAAATTATGTTTAGGCAATTTTTTCAAGTGTAGTCGACAACACTATTATCTAAGTGTTGGGTTTCCGGACTGCATTGTTTCTATTTATTTGCACACACATCCAGATAAAGGCATCTCAGTATGGATGTGTGCTAAGGTCGTCGAGGCTTTGTTCGGCTGGCTCTGGCTTTTTGACTTTTGTCGACCATATTTATATACATTTTTATTTCTATTCCTATTTATTTCAATGCTTTCATTGTTGCCACGCCCTCTTCCCGCTGCCCGCCGGTTGTTTGTTTGCTGAGCTCGGGCAAAGAGCGAATTTGTTTTGCTGCTAAATGGCACAAGGCTCTGGGGAAATGCGTCAAAATGTTGTCGAGTGCCGGCCTGTTGGGGAAAAGGCTACCAAACCAAAAGGCGAACATTGGGCTTCGAGCATTATTTCAAAATGAGAGCGAAAGTGCGGAAAAGGCAGCAACAAGGTCAAGCCTCTGTAAGCATTCGGGTGTGAAGGCCTCTGTGTGGGTGGCCCTACGTTAGTGTATGCCTAGGAACTTAAAGTAAATATCGGCTGATTTTTCAGTACCGATGCCAGGCACGTAGCCAGCCAAGGCTCAGCTCCTTAATGAAGCTGCGGGTTCAGTGATGCGCGCATTTATGAGTGCTTTTCAGGGGGGCGAAAAGTGCCCAGATAGGTGACCTTGTATCCAAGGGATATATGTGAATAAGTGCTAGCCAAGCAAACTTTTAAGGGAAGCCTTCGGGTATGGGTAAGATGAAATCCTCGGTGGGGAACGAATTTTGAATGAATTTAAATGAACCACAATTTTAACTGCGGAACGTCCTTTTAAAAAATTGCAAGTCTTTTGCAGTTACTATCGCCATTATGTTTATAGCTCTGGAACTACTGCCTACCTTAGTTTTATTTTAAAGAATATTATTATTGCACTGGTTGTAGAGCCTAGTTCAATAATTAAGGTATATTAATAAGTCTAATATTGGAAGGCTTACACCCACATTATTAATTTTATGAAAATTAATTCCTACACGTATTTCAATATTAAAAGTTCAATAATTAAGGTATATTAATAAGTCTAATATTGGAAGGCTTACACCCACATTATTAATTTTATGAAAATTAATTCCTACACGTATTTCAATATTAAAAGGTATTTAATAAATCCACAAAGAAGGAGTGTTATTACACAAATTCAATTAATTAAAGGGTTTTGAAGCACCTGTGAGGTATTAAATGCGTGTACATTAGGTTTGAAAAGCTCACACAAAGGCAGCTTAATTAAATTCAATTAGCTTTGGCCAAAGGCACTCTTCCTCTCTCAAGCTTTACCGTTCCATCTCGAATTTGAACATTTTCCCCCCTAATAACGACTTAATCCCGCATTGCAGCACCAAATCATCCAGCACAACCAGCGAGCGGGCGTGATTGTCAGCAGCGGAGATCTGGCGCTCCAAGGAGTCACTCGTCACCAGGCTGGCAACTACACCTGTACCGCCTCAAATGTTGAGGGCGATGGAGACTCCAATGTGGTCGAGCTGAAAGTGATGTGTGAGTATCGCGTTGAGTGGGCGGTATATGTTGATTTGTGGCACCTCAACACACACGCACACCACATTGTGTGCCGCGTATTGTGTTGGCTGACCCATAAAACGCTCTCGAACGGCTGAATTCGGGCCATTAATGAATACTTCGGCGTGGGCTTAAATAGAAAATCGAATTGTGACCCACAACCATCCACTGAAATCCTTCTTCGGCCACGCTGCTTTAGCTGCTGCTGTTTGGATTCTCTAGTGAACCTTTGACACACAAAAACGAGCATTATTGAGTGTTCGAGTATGGCCCGAGATGAGGATGGATGGCCAACAGCGGGGAATCCGGGGCTCAACGGGGCACTCCCAGCATTGTGCGCTCGTGCGGGCCTCTTGCAGTTTTATTGCGTATACGCCCCATTATTGTGCGCTGCTTGAATGCTCCTTTGTGTATCGCTGAGCTGTGGACAGGGCGAAGAAGTGGATCTGGGAAAGAGTAAAAGCAATCTCTTGCTTCGAACTTTTGTGGCACAATAGTGGAAAATAGCTCGAGTTATTGTCAAGTTGGATAGGTTGATATTTAAATGCGCCATTTAACTAGCTATGGATTATGGTACGGTCAAATTGAAATGTATTCAAGTAGGTAGGCGATAAAATGTTGGTAACAGCTACTAAATAAAACTTCATAAATATTGAACTGAATAGAGGAATCTCCAGACGAACTTTGTTAAAGGGTATACAAAAACCATTTACTCAACGATATTATTTAAACTGCTTTGGGTCTTTAGCTTAAGTTTGTTGTGGGGGCTTTCCTGCTTGCAAGACAGGACCGCAAATCTTCTGCTCAATTTGTGCTGGATTCCTGAACTTGGCCCTGTCTCGAGTCAAACTTTGGTTAATTAGTTTGCCTTTTTCGAGCAATTTAGCAGGCCAGAGAGCCTTCTATTCATTTTCGCCTTCATTCATTCATTTGTTGCTGCCTTATGCCTTTGTTTTTACGGCACCATTTTCCTTTTATCACTTCCACTTCTTTTTTTATTCCTGTGCTGGCCGGGCTTTTGTTTAAAGCTCAGTGTCCAACTGGCAACTTTGTATTCCCCCGCTGCCCGAGATGCGCTTAAAATTTGTTTACGGCTTGGCCAGCTTGGCATGCAATATCGACAGTTGTCAAATGGCACAATAAATGCGGCACTTGCAACTTTCGCAAGTTTTGTGGCTGGGACAAGAGGCAGTTGAAAGATTTTCCCCAGCCAAGGATTAGAAAACTGAATATTCCCCTGGCCTGCGCAACTCGGCTTTTCCTTGAAATCGCCGTCGCTTCTGTTCAAAGTTTTCACTACAGGAAGTTTTTCTTTATGTCGAGTCTTCTTTTTGTGGTTTTATAAAAATGGATATGTTGTTTAACGAAATAATGCTAACGGGTCTTACTTAAAATTTGTTATTATTAATTTAATAATAATGTGGCTGCAGTTATTGGGAGTTCGTGTTCAAAATTGTTGGGTAATTAAATTGAACTCATAAATATATACAAAATGTTTATTAAAATGAAAGTGTGGGGCAACTGTGATACATGCCACATGGGCTACAAATTTCCATTACTTTCGGTTTAAAGTTGAGTTAAGCTTAAAGATCCGCAAAGGTAATTAAGCCCTTCCGTACTAGCCCTCTACGCGGTTTCTTGTTGACCAACCCGATTCGGTTCTGTTGTTTTTTGGCTTTTGTTTTCTGTTCGCCAATTTCTCTGTTGAGTTAGCTGCTTGAATGGGCAACAAAGGCAGCCGAACAGAAGGGTGAACTTTTCTACTTGGGATTTCTGAGCCTGTAGAGAGGCAGGGTCTCAAACAAAGAATCCTTCGAACAGAGTTTGATGCGATTATTGATTCCAGCTGCAGATGCAAACAGCAGAATGCACTACAGCCACAGCACAGCCAACTTTGTTTCGATCTCCGCACTCACCGACTCTTTTCTCTGTTTCCGCCACACAGATAAGCCAATTTGCCGGCCCGATCAAAAGAAAATCTATGGAGTGGCGCGGAACGAGGCGGCCGAAATCGTTTGCGAAGTGGATGCCTTTCCGCCGCCGGAGAACTTCAAGTGGTCCTTTAACAACACGGCGGAGACCTTCGACATGCCGCAGAGTGGTTTCCGGCCACATTCCGCCCAGGGCTCCACCCTAACCTACACGCCCGTCAAGGTAAGTTCCCAAAGTCCGGAAAGCCCGAAAAGTCCGGAAGGTCGCCTGGGAACGGACAAATGTCGGCGGGATCGTGCTCTGGGGATGCGTGACCCGTTCGTCACGTTAAATGCTAAACAATTTTGACATTCGATTCACTCCTAGTCGTAGATAGTAGCATGCGGCGCTTTGCTGCGCTCGCCTTTAATGTGAAATTGTTAATGACACATTTGACATTTTGGACGGCAGAAACACTGACCAGAAGAAAGAAGAACAAAATTGAATCTATATAAGAAATAATGTAGTCTAAGATTCTGAAATCTATAATATTATTGGTGTACATTTAAATTAAAAATGTATGATTCCATATAAATAATACTTAAAAACATTAAGAAATTATATTACCTCCGTAATATTAAGAAAACGTTGCATGCATTTTTTGAATGTGTTGTTAGCAAATGCAGGCACCCTTTATTACCATTTCTGACAATAAAATTCTTTTTTCAATTTTAAAATTTTCCCATTTATGTTTTAAGTCATATTTTTTATATGTGCACCGTAGTAACTATTGAACTCCACGGGGGTTGTCTGTTATTGAATAGCAAAAATTTTAATTAATAGGCGGGTCACATGGTTGTTGCCATTTATTTGGCCTGTGTGCGTGTCATGTTGTCAGCCAGCAACAGGGCAAGTAAACTGGAGCAAAGTCCTTCCTGATAGAGACAACAGCCAGCCATTTGGGGCGGTCGAGCGATTTAATTAAAAATTCTATTAGCACTGCTTTCTAATTAAAAATCCAATAGCAGAAGCACCACCAGCACCGCCATCACCATCATCATCATCGACAACAACACCATTGAATGACAAAGGTTATTTGGGGAAAACTCAAAAAAGCTAGCACAAAAGAGCTGGAAAAATTATTGAAAGTAAATGCCATTGACTTTAATAGCAATCATTATTGGCCAAAATGAAGAGGATAAAGCTAAGCACCTTCCACCTCTCTGTCTAAAGTTCTGGGTCCGTGTCTGTCGATTTTGGCAACATTTTCGCATTAATGGCGGCAATAGCCAACAGCAATTGCGATTGCAGTTTTCGGCGCTCCTCCCCAGCAATTCGCCAAGCAAATTGGCCATCAATGAGCTGCACTCCCATCGAATCGTTGGGATTTCGGTTTTTGCATTTGATATTCCCCATGTCAGCTCTCGACAGCAGATGTTGCTTTGGGTGATGTGTAAATTTTAACGGTCAGCCAAAACATAGTTGCATGCTATGCTTGCACATCGGAATTGACACACAAAAAGATTGAGCTTGTCTTTGCCGGTCAATAATACTCAAAAACGAATGGTGAAACCTAAAACTAAGCGTTGTGAAAAGCAACTGATAAAATCGTTGTTCTTTCGCTTTCGTCTTTTTATAGATTAGAAATGAATATCGAATTATTAATAATTTTTCTGTAAAGAAAAAAGTTTTTTTTTAGCATCGGCTTCTTGTAATATTAAATTGAATAATAAAATATCTCACTACTAACATGTAATTTTGAGTGCCTTAGCATAATAACTTTGTTGTCAGAGCAAAATACATCACTCACTTGGTTTGCATTACATTTTGGCAGTTGTGAATAAGCTAGAGTTATATTAAAGTGGCAAATAAATCTCTGCAACATTGGAACACTTTTTGGGATCTCGACAACTCCTGTCGAGGATTTTTCATGGCTGGATTTGCCAACCAGTCGGCACCTACATTTCCGCTTGGCTGTCTGACCACAAACGTGTTAAGTTTTTCGGACTGGGCTTGCGGTCGCTTGTAAGCCAACATGGCTGCCATTATGCGATGACAGTGGAGGAGCTGCAACTGGATGCTGCAAATGGCATTGGACAGAAAGGGGGTTTACGAGGGAGGTGCTGAGAAGAGGCACTCAACACAGTTGTTCAAGTTGCATGGCACCCAGTTGGTTTGGTTTTGGGTTAGGGTTTCGGGTCCCCTGCTTCGTCTGGTTTTCAAGCTGACCCAGTTTAAAATGTTGCGGCTTCTTCTGCACTTGCCGTCCTTTTCCACTCTTTTTCCACACTTTTTTACGTATTTTTCTTTATTTTCGCCACCATTTTTTTTTGGCATGGAACTAATCAAACTGGTGGGGAAAACCTCGGCAAACATTTCGCCGATCAAACGAACAAATTTCGAGGGAGCAAAAGGCATTCAAATGAGTTCCGCTCACAAACACTCGTCCATCGCACTGATTGGACACACACACACACAATTACATCCAACCGAAACACACACACACACTCACACAGACATAAATCATTTAGCTCAATTGAATATGAAAAATCCCTTCCGTTCTGTTGTCATATATGCTGTTTCCGGTTTCCGCTAACCGCAACTCAAACGTCGTTGTCGTTGTCGTTGTCGTTGTCGTTGTCGTCGTCGTCGTCATCACATTTTGGTTAGGATTTTTCTTTTCGCTTTTCCCCCCTTTTCTTTTTTTTTCCTGCCTGAGCGACTTGTTCAAAGGCAGCCAACAGCTCATTAATTTTGTTTTGTGCATGGGCATTTCTCGTTCTCCATTTCCCCACATTTTTTCTCGATTCCATTGCTATTTTCTATGTGTGAGCGGAGCAATTTTGCCAGGCTTTCATGTCAAGCAATTTCCGCTGCTGACATATAAATTTCTCAAATATTTCACGAAAATAAATTTCGGTCTCTTGGCTTTTTGGAGCACAGCCATCGCAGCTCTGTGTGAACTTCACTGCAAGAAACTCATTAAAATGTCACTTAAATGTTTAAATTTTTAATTAAAATGCATAAATAATAACAGCAGACTTGACTTGAAACGAAATGCACAGAATGCCATGCCTAGAAGTGGTATTTTGCCTTCTTTAGATCTGGGGCCCCAAAACACACAGATACACGCATGGAAAAATACCCAGTATACGTGGGTATATTTATTTTATGGATTTCGGTTTTCCTTCCTACGAAGAAAATGTTGCTGTTGCAACAATATTTACACATTTGCTGGCGCAACATTAGGACAATATAAACACAATAAAATAATCATAATAAATAGAGGGGCATAAATTCAGGGGCCCTAGGGCACTAGAAATTATCAAGGATTGTCGGGCCGGGCGATGACAGTTGCAAATAGAACAAGAAAGAAAGCAAACTTCGGCAAGCCGAAGTTCATATACCCTTGCAGCTATTGCATGAATTAAATACTTTTGAAAACATTTAAATTATGATTTACTTGAGTATATGCTGAAAAACATTGAAACTATGATGATTTGCAGCTCAATTATTAGATAGTTATTTTATAAATTTTTATTATTTCTATGGGAGCTATATGCTATAGACGTCCGATTTTGATAAAATTTAAACCATAATTCTGAAATAATTAAACATTGCTATATGTCGAAGAACTAAACAAAAAATTAAAAAACAGAAAAGTTATAATTTTTTTTCATTTATTTTTCCGATTGTTCCTATGGGAGCTATATGCTATAGTCGTCCGATTTTGATGAAATTTAAAACATAATTCTGAAATATTTAACCATTACTATATCTCGAAGAACTAAAAAAAAAATTAAAAAACAGCAAAGTTATAATTTTTTTCAATTATTTTTCCGATTGTTCCTATGGGAGCTATATGCTATAGTCGACCGATTTTGATGAAATTTAAACCGTAAATCGGAAATATTTAACCATTACTATATGTCGAAGAACTAAACAAAAAATTAAAAAACAGCAAAGTTATAATTTTTTTTCATTTATTTTTCCGATTGTTCCTATGGGAGCTATATGCTATAGTCGTCCGATCCGGCTCGTTCCGACTTATATACTACCTGCAATAGAAAGACAACTTTTGGGAAAGTTTCATGCAGATAGCTTTAAAACTGAGAGACTAGTTTGCATATAAACGGACGGACAGACGGACAGACGGACAGACGGACAGACGGACGGACAGACGGACATGGCTAGATCGACTCTACTAGTGATGCTGATCAAGAATATATATACTTTATAGGGTCGGAAACGTCTCCTTCACTGCGTTGCAAACTTCTGACTGAAATTATAATACCCTCTGCAAGGGTATAAAAAGCGGAGCGTTCTATGCATCTCCCACATTGATTATTACCTTAAATGCCATGCAATTGTGTGCGAGTGAGTGTCTGGCCTGGTGCTTTTGGTCCTGGCAGCTCCATTATTATATTGCCGTAGCCGTAGCCAAAGCCGAAGCTCCTGCTTTCAGCCACTTTCCCTTTGACCCGTTGGTGTTGATGCTTAGTGTTGGCAGCTGCCAACTGGCCGCCTTTGTGGCGACACTTTTGCCACACACAACAAAAACTGCAAAAGCTATTACACACTGGGCAAACCTATTTTAATTTTCACAAATTTGTCATAAATTTGCATAAGCATTGTTGCTTAAAATTCGAGTCCAAGGATGCTGAATATTTGCAATCTATTTTCGTCTTTAAACATCCTGACGGCAAAATAAGCTGGTTATTCACAACTAAAGATTTTCGACTAAAATTTCGTTTTAAACTCAGTCTAAGCTAGATAGTCGAGTTTAATTCTTAACTCTTGTCTAACTAATTGGTGTGATGGCATATAAATGATATTATTGAATTTCATGTCAGAAATATTTATAAAACGTGTTTAACTTCTAATTAGTAATATTCGAAGAAATTTAATAATTGTTTTCAATTATTTATTGTAAAGTTATCTCAACATCAATAATTTATGATTTTCTTGGGCTTGTATGAAGTTTATGGAAAATTAGTAAAAGCTTAAAAGCTTTTGAATACATTTGTTGGATGACTTTAAAAAAGAAGAATTAAAAACAATTTAAATATTTCGTAGATTATTCATTTTAATGTCATTTTTAATTGGTAAAGAAATAAGAAAGCAAATAGTTTAAAGTAAACTGACTACAATGACTAAACTACAATTTAAACCTTAAAAGTGGAATTAGTAATCGGATAGCTTTAGCTCATAAGGACCCAAAACGTTCTCTATTGATTTTTGGGGGAATGAATGTATTAGGCAAAGTAATCAATCAGTTCTGCTAAAACCCCAACTCTTTTACTAGATGATTGGAGTTTCATCTACGACGGCAGAAAAAACCGAACTCATTTCCCGATCTCCATAAATCTCGACTTTCCCCGTACTGAAGCAAACTTTCCTTTTGGTATTTACTTCTGTTTTTTTTTTTCTTGCCCTAATTAAAATGACAACCACGCCCAGTTGCGACTTGAAAGATAGCGAAAGCAAAGAGACGAGGTTGAAACGCGTGCAGACTGATTAATAAGCTGCAATTTGCGTTGACATTTCGCCGAGCACCCGAAAGTGATTTCAATTTTTAATGAGTCCGGGCCGCCTGAAGTTGATTAAGTGCGTTGATTCCAGTGCTCGCAGTCAACGTTAAAGGCCAAAGGTAAACACGTCCCGCAAAGATACAAAGATACGCAGATACGCATATACAGGCCATGAAGGCGAATCAATTGTGGGGGACGTGAGCGAATGGTCCGATAGTTTGGTGGGTGTGTGTGTGCTCTTGACCGAAGACGAAGGATTTCATTAGCACAACATTTGACAAAATGCAAACAAATAAACAAGAACGACAAACAATGGCCAAGACCGCAGGCGGCCACTTAGCACTGGGATACAATGGGATAGACAGGCATTAGGACCATGTTAACATGACTTCCTTCCTCTCCCACAATTTTCACGAGCGAACATACATAAACGAGTATGTAATGGCCCAGGGGTGGAGAGCCACAAAATGCTTCATTTGTTTTTACTGCCAGGCATTTTTCTGTCCTTCCTTGGCCTTTCTGCATCGACATGACATGAAATTATATTAATGAAAAACTTATTGACAGCTGCAATCAATCAGAAGCAACTCTGACAACACACTGGCCCGTATCCATATTGATTTAATGAATTAAGTTCACATTGATGTCGTGTGCGGCTGCTTGGATTCCATTTAAATGTGTGTCCAAGAGATGAATTCAAGTAGCAGCACTGGGAGAAAATTGAGAAATAATTTGTGCTTATATAATGAAGTACATTTATTTCATAACATTCTTAATATAAATTACAAGGTATTAATTAATGTCTTTTGGTTTTCATTTTCTCAAAGTTCACACAAAGTCCTTAGACGCCAGAATGTAAATGTTTTGTTGTTTAGTTATCAAGTCAACACATATATATATTACTGGAACAAATTAGTTTTTATTGAATTAATATGTATGAAAAATATTCCAAACGCAATTCCTATTTCCCAACGTTTTTTCATGTGTGCAATCTATTTTTAACCCATGTTCACACTTGAGTATTGATGAAACGCTGTGTTCTCCGCATTTTCCAGGAAATGGACTTTGGCACCATCATGTGCTGGGCCGACAACAATGTGGGTCAGCAGAAGGAGCCCTGTGTGTTCCATTTGATAGCCGCTGGCAAACCGGAAGCGCCCACCAATTGTACGGTGGTCAATCAAACTTCCGACTCGCTGGAGGTTTATTGCATTGAAGGTGAGTTATATGGCCCACACACTCATACTCATACGTCAAATTGCCAGCCAATTTGTTGCCCTTTTTCGTTCGGTTTGGTCTCTTTTCCTTTTTGTTTCTATAATTGCTGATGAGCCAATCAATGGCCGAAAAGGCATTGGTCATTGGTTGGGGCGGAGGCGGGGGCCGGGGGTTTCGCAGGGCAAAAGGGGGAGTGGTCATGTCCTGAGACATCCTTTGCAGCATGAGCACGAGTGTGCGAGGAGAGCTGTAACTTGTATATGCTGAGTTTCCTGCAACGCTTTTCAGACTCATTTAAAATACATGAGCAACTTAAGTGCACTTTGGCAGCCATCTACGAGTATGTCTATCCACTCATACAGACACGGATTCGTATTTACCCCTTCCCCTCCCCATCCCACTCCCCACACACACTCATACAATTGTAAAGCAAAGCCAACTTCCTTTCGTGATGCAGACACAAATAATAAAAACGCAATGAAAGCATAAAACTAGAAAGGAAACACAGCGTAGAAGGGGGAAATAATGTTGCTAAAATTTCAATTCCAGCTTAAAATTTTCAGTAATAAATAAAATAGAAGCAGTCAAGTGATGAGCTGCGAGCTGAAGGAGCGCACGGCCTAAAGTTAAGCGCAAATTTGTACATACAAAATGTTTTGGCTTGTTAGGCAACTTGCTGCCTGCGAGTTGCCCAAGAAGGAGAACGGAAACTTTAAATACAAATTCAATTCGCATATTTTATGCGCAGCACAAGAGCGGAAAGCGCAAAGACAGAAAAATGCCAGCAAAGCGCAAAATAAGCAGCACAAATTGCAGTCCCAGAGTTCAAAGTTCGCAGCGATAGAGTTGCACATTAGCGCAGACAGAGAAATGTCCTTGCAAATTGCAACAGCTCCTCCAAGCTTATGATGCATTTATGCAACCCCTGAGTGCCGAACCGGAGACAGAGGAGGGGACAAAACAGGGGAAAGGCTGGCGGATCCTGCGAAAAGGCAACGCAAATCAAAGCGTTGCGTAACGAGGCGGCTGCTGCAAGAAGTGCAACAAAAAGCGCATAATAACTGCATACTTAATGGCGCTCTTTTCCAGTTACTGTTTGTTACACCCCCTCGTGGCGCATTCCGCTGTTCTTTTTTTCCACCGCTTAAAGCGCTCAATGTTTTTTCACCAATTGCTGGCAATCGCAATTGTTGTGCTCACTTAATGTTGTCTCAAGTGCTCGCCCACCCCGCGTATGCGTAATGTGTAATTGCATTACTACGCGCTTCAGAATGGAGGGAAATTCCATTGCAATGTCTTTATTGTTGTAATTTACGGAGCTCCTCGGAAATGTTGTAGCTTTTTAATTTTTATGTTCGAATTAAAGGCTGGGTTTAGCAACTGTGGTAGAAAATAATTTATGACTATTAATAAACGATAAGTTTTACGAATTAAATGGTTACTTTTTTTAAACTTGTATAAAATCGAAAAATTAAAGTTGGAATCAAATCTTAAAAATTGATGAACCATTATGTTGCATAAATAATAAACTTGTTAAATTTTTGTTGGCTTACTTACCTTAAAGCGCCATGATATAAACTTAAAATTAAAGCAGTAATAAGTTTAGATGCCTCAACTTTGAATATACAAAATTATTAAATTTTGTACTGAATTTCCTGGATAATACGTTTTCTAAAGAGTACTAAACAATAAATACAACTTTAAAAACGTAGTTCTTATCAGAATTGTACACACTTCTATATATTTATCTAATCATCCCTTAGCGGCCATTGTGCGTATACTTGATGATCTAACTTTAGATATCATTACAAATGCACTGCAACTATGGTATTAAGCAGCTTTAGCTCTATGTCTCTCTCCTTGTGGCAAAGTCATTGTTCTCCTTTTTACCGCACCACCCCCACTGCCATTTCTGCAGTCTCGACCGTCCCTCGGGCTGCTAATTTAGTGGCTGCACATTATTATCATAGTCATCAGCATCATTAAAACTTTAACGCAAGTTGTTTAAGCACAACACAAGAGCAGCAGCATCAGGATCGGGGTACCGCGCACAATGCGATACTTTTTATATTGCGCTCTACATTAAGGCAAACGACGACTGAAATGCCACGCCCCATTCTACCCACCATCCAACAAACAACGCCCCCAGCCCTTTGGTCGTTTGTTTTTATAATAACTCAACTTTAGCTGCGGTCGACTTTAATAAGCCAGCACGCAACTTGGCCAACTCAACTCGACGTGGTCGTCGCCGCAGCTCAACTTGGCTCAAACTGAACCGAACTAAACTTAAACCAACTCTGCCCGACTCAAATTGAATCCAATGTACGCTGCTGAAGACAACTCTCTACATCTTTGGCTGGCTACTGCTGTTTTTTCTCGGAAAACAAAAATAAACCAAACTGGCAGGCAGCGGCAACAGCAACTAACCAAACTCATCAACCGTCGGTTTAATATAATAAAATTTCAGTTTATAACATTTTTCTTCGCTGCTGACGATGCTGCTGCACTGAGAAACAAATTAATCTTATAGAAAGGGTGTATACAAATTAAAATGTAATATTGTATCATTTAAATGAACTTGAACTGAAGGTACTTTGCTTGCTCTAATAAAAAGAGTAACTGAATTTGTGTACCATAAATTATTTATTTCAAAAGATCTTAAAATCCTTAAAAAATCAGAAAAAATTGTATGCAAATATGCATCAGGGCTTGCAAAATCACTAGGAAATTCTACACCATTTATTTTATTTATAGTATATTATATTTTGGGTTCAGCTTAGTAATGGACCAATAATTATTTTAAGCTATAGTTGACCTTACTATTTTAAACTGAATGCATTTTGACCTATTTTTCTGAGTGTTCCTGCTGCTGGTCGGTCTTGTTTTATTATTTTACTCCACTTGCGCAGCATCCATTGCATAGTCAAGTAAATAAAATTAACCCATTACAATGAAGTTTTTTTTCGCTCTGACAACGGAGCTGCGGCAAATTTCATTAGCTAAACGTTTTAAAGTGCGCACAAAATGGCCGCCAACGAGCTGTGGGAGTGATCCCTTGAAAGGGAGCAGAAAGTAAGAATGGAATAAGCCCGCCAACCCGCCCAGCCACCCTGCGAACAATGACGCTTTGAGGCAAAGGCCAAGCACATTCTCTTTACTCTATTTCCGTGCCATTTTCTTTGTGAGTGCAAGTTCGGGTGGCTGAAAAAGCTGGCCAACAACAACTAAAATTCATAGCAACATATAAAACATTTTCCACAACAATTTCGCCTTGGGGTCCATGGCGTGTGCCCGTCTGAAGAAGTTCCTCGGAACCCGCCCTAAACCTTTTCACTGGCCGCTGCCTTTATTACAAAATATTATAACATTTTTCGCAAGTGTTTTAAGTCGGCTTTTGTGTCTACAATGAAGTGCCATTTGAGCTGCCAAAGCTAGCAAAAGCAGCCGCTGAAGAAGTGGTCCAACATTAGCCTCTTACTTTTGGCCAAACCGCTTCTCCCTCCTCTTAAAGGGGCGAATTCGAGTGGGTTCGGCCAGTTCTTTTGTGGTGTGATTAAATGGCATTTAAAATGTAACTTTAGATTACTGAAAATACATATTTCAATGGCAGTCGGTAACGAGTTGAGGAGTCCTTACCAGTGAGCTTTTCCCAAAACTGGAATGGAGGGGTGACCTTTAGTTGACCGGTTTTGAGTAATAAATTGTTTTTAAAAGGCTTTTATAGAAAAGTGGGACAAATTTAAATAGAACGACACCATGACATTTATAAGACAGTTATTTGGTTGTTCTAAATCTTTTTTGCGTCGATTATTAGAATTTGTATCAGATTAAACTCAAATTCTAATGATCATGTTAAAAAATCTTTGCCCTTGTTCTTACTTTGATATATTTATGTTTTTTTTTTGTTTCCCGAATTATCCACAGCTTATTTGGTGTTGTCGCGAGGGTTACAACTTTTGGAACAGCAACACAATAACTTTTCTGATGATAATTCCATTTGTCTGTTGTCCTTGGCATCAAAGAAATCCCAAAACAAATGTCTTGCCCAGGCAATCTACCTTCCACAAATCTCCACCAAAACCATTGGCAAAGTGTAAACAAGAGCCGCAGTCGATTGGCAACTACTTAATATTAATAAGCTCGAAGTTCCATCCCCTTGGCCAATGCCAATCCCAGTCAATATGTTAAGTAAGCCCCAGTTCGTGCCAAGTTATGCAATCGGAGTCTCCCTCTTTTTTTGCAGGGTTCGATGGCGGAATGCGGCAGTGGTTCCTCATGGAAATCTTCGATCAGCACAGTGGCCAGCTGCAGGCGAACATCAGTGCCAAGTTCGCGGCCTTGAGCGTTACGGGATTGGATGCTGGCCGCCTGTTCCGCATATATGTGTATGCCGTTAATGGACGGGGCCGCAGTGATGCCATTGCCCTCGATGGATACACCCTGAAGGCGGCCGAGAAACAGACGGGTAAGTGACGATATAGCCCATGAATTTTAATGAATATAGTGATGGAGCTGTGCACTGTGGGAAAATGTTAGGAAAAGCAATAAATAAAATAATTTCAATTACTCACGTTCTTACAATTCTTGTTTTACAATGTTTTCTTTACAAAATCGATGTTTTAAAACTATTTGATAAAAAAAATGATTGTTTTCAATGAACCAACAATGTTAGGAATGTTAAGTCTAAATAATTAAAAAAATGAATACTTATAATAACAATAGTAATTAAAATTAACTCTTGCCATCACAATACAAAATACCTATTCATATACAAAATTGTAAAAAGCAAACTTGTAATGAACATTTTTAATTTTATATTAACTATCCTTAAATCATGAGGTATGAATACTTTTGTGTTCCTTTTTGCTAATCTTTGAAGACCTTTTTTCTCGAAGTGAATTGTATTTTTTATGAATTCTTTATGCTAATACTGTAGACTTACGCTCTCTTTTACTGAAAACGAAACGAATTGCATAACTTTGCATTCGGCTCGGCCCCTGTATCAGTTTCGCTCCAGAGATTGCTCAGGGTTTTATGATTATTATGCCACCTCGCAATTTAATTACGCTAAACTGCTCAATGAATTGTAAATTCTGCGACTTCAAACTTTCACCTGCAGTTTGGGGACAGTAAACGCCAAATTTTATGCAGCCTTCCCCCACAAAGTAGCGCAAAAAATCTGAAATGATTAGCATTTATGAATTGGGGTTGAAAGAATGCGGAAGGAGCGTTTCATTATTGAGGGTAAGGGGTCTAAGCGAAAAAGGAAATTGTAATGCTAATTAGCCAAAGGAGGACCTGACAAGAATTTTATTTTCATTTTTGTACATTTCCCTTTTGAGGGAAGCCAGGAAGCCGAAAGGCGGGAATCTAGGAGGGACGGTCACATTTTGTGTAAACAACTTGAGCCGACATTTCAATTTTTCATAAAGTCAGCCGGAGCAATGGCAACAGGGAAAAGTGCAAAGCAAATAGCAAACAGCAGAAAAGCCAGACAGAGATGAAAATCAGAAAAGAAAATCGTCTTGGCAAAGAGTCAAAGAGTGGATGCTCTGAGCAAAGGTTAAGCTTGATTATGATCAGTATTTCTCAAGGTTTCATTTTCTCAAAAAGGGGGATTAACTTTACTCGTTGGGCCAGAGAGCAAAGATCTGAATTGTTTCGGGAATGAAAAGAAAATAAGACTGAACTTAAAAAGCATTTTGAAAGGTATTTTAGCAAACCAAAATTTTTAAATAAACAACAATAAGTAAGGAGAGTAAATTATGAAGACATGTAAACATAAAAAGCCAACTAAACTAAATGTAGTCCATTAGAAAGCTTTTAAATTTTTAAATAAAAGATACACCTATTTTAAAGAGAATAGTGCTATATAATTAAATATCTATGAAAGCTTAATTTTTCTTTAGACCAATTGTATATATATATTTTATTACTTATATTTGCAGTCGCCTTGACCTCGTACAAGGGCAGTGCCCAAAGTCCGGACAACTTCGAGCTGACACCGATCCTGTCGATTGGCATCTTCGTGGGCATCCTGGTGGCCATCGTGTGTATCGGGATTGGCACAATTGCGGCACTGAAGCTACGCTCGCACAAACATCAGCAGCAGCAGAAATTCGTACATCCGAATGCGAAATTCTCACGTCCGGGCAATTTGCAAATTAAGGACAAAATCTCGTTGCCATTGAGTCATTCCGAGGAGATGTACGACGAGAAGAATCCCGATGTGGTGCCCTACAATGAGGGTAAGTTGCCTGTTCCCGGTTCTTGGTCCCAAGCCCCTAAGACCATCGCCACTTCCCTTCGGCTTACCCTCAAGATAAATGGTGTCTGCCAGGCTTCTGCCCGTCTGCTCGCAATTTATGGACGCTGGCTTGAGGCTTTCCTTTATGCAAATGCATTTGACAGGCCGTCCGGCTCATGTAGGCAAAACAAACAGGACTCGGCGTCCTCAAGAGCTGACTGCATTTTTGTGCCAGTGCTGAAATATTTAAATGACAGCTAATTGCTGTCAGGTCCTTGCCGGTTAGCTTGTTTGCTCGTGTGTCTGCAGTCAAGGGCCTTAAAGACCCTTTTAAACGTGAAACGGGAGAGCTTGGCCAAAGCAGCAGCAAATTCACTCACTGCACGTGCTCGCTTGATTAATGGCAATCAAGAAATCAGGCGGCAGCCAAAACCAGAAGCAGTTCTAGCACAGCACAACAATTTAATCAATTTTCCAAACGTAAAGCAATTTCATGGCCAAAAAAAAAGCATAAAAAAATAATGTAAGGAAGCTGGCGGAGGGAAAATTGGGCAGGAAGAAAACTTGCTGCTGAAAATAACCAAAAGATTTGAGGGCGTCGGCCGGGCCAGAAACTTTTGCCTTGCTACTTAACAACAAAAAACAGAAAAACAGAAACGACGACGGCCAGCTCAAACTTTTCGAACTAACTAAGCGTTCTCCATTCTGTTCTGTTCTCTTCCCCCAATGTTTCCACCCAGTTGATGGTGAATATAAACAAAAATCAGCAACACAAACGCCATCGGGACATCTTTCGACGACCAGCGAGGTGGAAATCAGCTGCAAGCCGGGCTCAACTTCCGGCACCGGAATCGTACAGGCCAACTCGGCGGACAGTGGCACCTATCAGAGCAGCAAGGTGAGTCTGTCGGCCAAACTTTTGGTTTGGCCACCGAAAAGTTTTAATTACAGTCGAACAACTCTATGACGAACTCCCCCGAGTGCCGGCAACATTGCCATGACAAATGTTTTGATTTGATGTCGCGAATTACTTGCGAACATCTTAATGCTCTTGAAAACAATTTGGGAGAGATTAGAAAATAAACCTGTGATTATAGCCAGTTTCACCTTGGGGAAGGATGATCCCTTAAGGAGTTATCTTAGATATGCTCTCCTGTTATTTCTTGGAAGGCCAAATTGGTTGTTTTTAAAGCAATTGAATTTGTGTTGCTTGTAATTATCTTGACAAATACTTTGATTTGGGTTACGCATTTCTAGAAATATTGGAAAATGATGGAAACATGATTAAAGTCAGTTTGAAATGCAGAATAAAAAGTGTATATATGGGAGACCACATTAAAAAAATGATTACAAAACTAATAATAAGATTGCTATCCTTAAATATATTTTTATTTGCATTTTCAGTTTTCCAAAAATATCAAAACTATTGAAGCTTTTAGGCTACATAAACAGCTTTTTAGCTTTTTATTTTTATAAAAATTTTTATTTTTTATATTTTTGTTGAGACCAACCATTGTCTCTTCTATAATTAAAATACTTTTGTTCGTGTTCTAATTTTTATAAAACCACTCTGAAAAGTTTCTTTAGTTTCTTACACTGACTGAGATTTACTACGCTATAATATTTTTCAAATCATTATTTGCTGCCAGTTTTATCTATGCTGGTTTCGACTGTACACCTTAATCCACTTTTTCCAACTCCCCGATTCCCGGAAGTTCTCTGATGACAGTTTATTAAATGCCTGGCCATTTTCTCCCTCTTCAGGACGATGAGCTGCACTACGCGGAGCTGTCGCTGGCCAACATGCCGTCCGGCAGCAGTGGCGCCTCAAAGAAGGGCCAGCCGTGTGGGGTGGTGGGTGTGGTGCAGCAGCAGCAGCAGGTGCAGCATCCCCACCCCCTGATGGGTGGCACCTTGCCGCACGGGTCGAGTATGAGGAAGCTGTTGCCCACGATTCCGGCGACGGCGACGCTGCAGCGCCACAAGCCGAATGCGGGCGGAATGCAGCATCCGCACCAGCACGCTCCGCCGCCCACGTACGACTACGATTACTTTGAGGAGCCGACGATATACGCGCAAATCGATGCATACAAGACGATGCAGGTGGACACAACAGGTGCTGGAGCAGGAGCAGGAGCAGCCGGGTCAGGGGTCACGGGCGCCGGGGCATGCATCTCCTCGCCCGGATCGCACGGCACCCCCTCGACCGTTTCGCCTGGCACCGTGCAGATGTACACCCTGCCCGAGCATCCCGGTGGCTACCACACTCTGCCACACAATCACCACGCCGGAGGAGGGGCCGGGGGGACAGGTCCACAGAACTCCACTTCGATGATGCAAATGATGCAGCACCAGTTGCACCACCATCCCGCGCCCAACATGCCGCCCTCATACCAGCAGCACCAGCAAAACCAGCAGCACCAGCTGACCCACGGCCAGATGCTGGTCTCGAGCAACAGCAGTGGACTGGCCTCCACCACGGCAGCGGTGGCCAGTCCCAGCAGTTCGCTGTCGGGCCTCTCGGGCGTGGGAAAGTCCTATTCGCGCGAAATCGTCACCGTTCGCACCCCGCTCATGTACTCGCAGCAGGAGAGCTGCGTCTAAACACTATCCTGGCCCCAAATATCCCCCATTTACTAGTCATCTAAGTCCTGAGCTCTTCGTGGTTGCTGTCTAGGCTAAGTGTTGCCAAAACGAATTGAACTTAAATGCAGCATTCAAGAGAATTGAAGTGAATCGTTTGTGTGCTCTTGGAGGAACTGATTATCTTTAAATAAAAAGGCTTATCACAAGGCTGCCACATAAGTCCTTTTCATTTCAGAGAAGACACCGAAAAGGGATTTTTTTCATGTTTCGTCGTGGGCATTTTTTGAATAGGTTCCTTGTACACGTTCAATAAGAAGATATTTCTTTTTGCTCCGGCATTCCACTTTTAGATTTGACCAAAAGTTAAGTTTAAAAGCATTTAACTAAAAATTACTTTATTTGTTTAGTTAAAACAATATTAACATTTACTTTAATTTACAATAAAATAGTTTTTCATCAAAATGTTAATATAATTAAGAAAATGTTATTCTCTTAATGCCCTAATTGAAAAGTTCAAATATTAAATATAATAGTAACTCAAAAAAAAGATTATAATTTACACGTCTAAACAAGAACGTTTCATAAATGCGGCATAAAAATTTCAAATTACTGATAACAGTAATTTTAATAAATCAAAATTGATTGGTGAAAATAGGCAGAAGAAAAGAAATATTGATTCGTGATTTATGTTTTGTAGGAGTTCCAGCGTAAACGGCAAAATGCTCAAAAGAAGACAGATAAATTTAGTTTTTAAGGTCTACTTTTGAACATTTAGAAGCAGAAGAGGAATGTTCCTTCCTTATAGTAAGTACTCAGATGGACACTCAGTCATTGCAATATTTTTTCAAGATATTACTTCACAAATACATATGAATTATCTTCCCAAGGAGACTTTGTAAATGTTTGTAAATGTCAGCTGGCGAGTAAAGAGCAGCATTTTCTAGCAATTAGGCTCAAATCTAGTATATATCTAGTAAGTATATCCTTGATATAATAGACTTAAAGCTCACTCTCACTCAACCAAAGATAGGCGAGCAATGCGAAGGCGCAACTTCTTGGCAATTATATTGAAAATAAATTACATTATTCGTATCTATGGAAAACAATATAAATAGTACGAACACATATACATAAACACAAATAAGAAATTAGATGCAATTAGATTAGCATAAATTAATACTAAGTATTAATGTGTAAATAGCAAAATCGTAAATCAAATTTATTTTACAAAAACCAAAAGCAAATCAAGCTGAAATGCAGCAAAGTAATGAATGTAAATTATTTGCACATTCGATGCGAAAAACTCCAAAAGACTATAAATAACAAAAAGAAAATACAACATGGACCTATCGTTGGTATGCAAACTTTGAAAACGTAAAAATAACAAAAGGGATAATTGTTGTTTGTAAATTGCATTTATATATCCATTCGTATTTTTCTCTTCAATGTATAAATAAATGTTTGAACTGTGAAAAGGTATAAAAATAAAGAAATAAATGCACCTTGTAAATTATTGTTACATTTTAATATTTGTGTTTAGTGAATGGAGATGTGAACACACAAACAAAACGAAAAGCGAAAGTATGTATGAAACACAATGTTGAGCTGTATTTGTAATAGACAGGAATAATGGCCAAGCAAGGCAAATGCAATTTCCGTTCCCAAACTAGTTAAACGGAAAAGATCGAAAATTAAATAAAAATGAAACAAGTGATTTCTCTTACATCAATTAGAATAAATTACAAAGAAACGTACACATATATGTTGGTCATCATCTGCGTATATTTCTGCATGTAAGTGTTCCAACCAATATGAATCTAAACTAAGTGTAGCTAATTTAACATCTAAACGAAGCCATAAAAGATAATTGTAAAATATATTAAAGATTTAGTTTAAAGCAAGACATATACTCTACAAATGAATTATGAATGTATGTTACGATTAAGCACTCGAAACGATATGGAAAATACCCCTCCCCTATCCCAATGAATACAAGGAATACAATAAAAACTTGAGACACAAAAAATAAACTGAACAGCAAACAACTGAATGAACTCAACCAAATAAATCCATACAAAATTTCAATGAAAAGCAAAGTATTTTTTTTCTTTGAGAGCGGGCTTCCAGATATTGCAGATCCCAGATGTCTACCCTGGTAGTATTATCCTTTTTCAGTCAGCGATGAGGACTCAAAAGAAGTCTCGGCCCATTGGCGACAAGGCTTGTACTGCTGCAATGTTGCAACCATTTTAATGCACACACAAAATTCAAAGAGAGAACAACATACCAAGTGATTTGTAAGATCTAAAAATATTTTGTTGTTGCGTAATTATTTAAATTCCTCTATATATAAAATTATATATAAAACAGATATTTAAGTTTTTTTGTTATTATAATGTTTGAGGAGGTAAAGCTTATATTTATATGACTGCTTTATGCTGAAATATTTTTATTTGTGTATAAAAAAAACACATACACCCAGGCTGACATAAATTGACAATGCAATGTTGTTGTCATCTGCTTGCAGCAGAGGGCCCAAGGCCAAAATCGAGGCAAGTAGCCTTTTCAAAGTGTGCACTCAAATGGACACAGGCGAGGACAAGCGACGACATGGCGTATGAGTTATTTCGGCATGTGTGTGTGAGCGGGGCCCAAACATCTCTTCCATTTGGCTTTCTTCATTTTCTTTCGTCGTGGGCTATTTTTTTTTCTTTTTTGGCAACCGTTTGCATGTGCAGCGAAGCGTAGATCTAAGAGAAATAAGACGACAGCAGGAGACATCACATGGATTTGTGGCCTGGCAATGGCAATGGTCATGTTTGACAAGCTACCCGTGATGCTCCCAACTGTGCTCTCTTTGGCATTTCCCCTGACTTTCAAAGTATTTGCGATACTTTGTTTCGCTCGGTCTAAAATTAAAAAGCGCACACATACAATGACTCGGAAAAGCGGGAGGAAAAGAAGACAGAAATAGAGATACTAGACGGTTAGAAAATGAGGCAGCTGCCTAAATATTACTGTCTGTGCAGACTTACACCTAAAAACGTATGCTTTGAATATATGAGCGAGCTTAAATGAATTATATCAAGTGGTTAAGCTATAATAACTTGTAGTATATACATCTATATATATTCAGTTTTCCAGAACTAAAATCCTAAAACTATAAGAAGAATTTGTATGTATATTCTTAAATTAAAAGGCTTTTACAACACAAAATATATTTATTAAACATTAAAATTTTAAAATAGCGTAAAGCGGGCTCATATTTTTTTAATGTAAAATGAAACAATATGCTCGTTTTGGACTGTCTCATATTGCCACTTTGTAATACGACAGCCCTGGAAGTCTCCTTCCGGAGTAATTTATCTCCCGCCCTTTATTGGGCGGAAAATGTCTTGGGCTTTTTGCTTTGGTTTCATACTAGCCAAAATTAAAAACCTTAAAGTCTACGCTCAATTAAACATATTTTTTACGCTTTCTGTTCCATCTGATTGTAAAGCTTAAAGAAAGATTTGCCGATGAAAGAAAATACATCAACTGAGAAGCCGCATTTGTTTAACATTTTTTCCCCACATACCCATACATATTTATAAACGCCATCGATCCATTCTCAACGAGATATGCCAGAAACTTCAATCAGGCTCCCTCGATGGCTGGTTGGCTGGCACTTGAACCAACCCTTGAACTGGTTCCACTTCGCTTTTGTACCTATCATCCATTGTTATCTGCTGGCCATTTGTTATGCGCAGACCAGGCACCAACCAGGCACCAACCAGGCACCAGCTAGGCACCAAACCCCGTTCGATGGCAACCAGGTCAGTTTATCCTGGCCACGCAGCTCGTCCGGGAGGAGGATTGTCGGGCACCCATTCATCAGAATCGGGGCGCATAATGCAGGCATATTTATAACATTTGACAGAGCATCCACAAAGCAAAACGAAATGCAGCCAGGCAATCCATAATCACACTTATGACCCGCACTCTCGAGCACTATTTATAATTATTGCTCTCGGGGATTATGGGGCTTTGAAACATGTGTGATGCATCTGAGCAGTGCGATTGCAGGCAAAACAATCTCATTACCATTACTTTTAAGATGCTCGAAACTTGCAATCAATTTCCCTAGCAATATCCGCCGGGGCACTCGGCAGAGCTTGGGGACCTCGAGGAAGTCTCAAGCACTCGCTCTATGTACTAGAAATCGAATCCATTGTTACGGCCTCCTTACACCCAATACAGGGTGAGAAAAATTGTTTCTTCGATTAAAAAAGATGATAGAAGTGGCAAAAACTTCAAATTGTTTAAGGTTTTATAACAAAAAGTTTATTACAACAAAAATCACGAGTTGTAGTTCAAAATATGGTCTAATTAATTTTTTTTCCAATTTGTATATTCTTTTTTTTATTAAACAATGAATTTGTTTGGTAATTTTTAGTTGTTCTTAGATATTAAATAAATATAATTTTTGTAAGAAAATTAATAAGTTCAAATAAATAAAATGGTTTGGAATTTGACTTAAATTAGAACAGATGGGAAACATACTTCATTAAAGCCATAAATTAGAAGGGACTAATTATCAGGCACCCAATTTTATTTCTGATTTAAAGATGTACCGAAAACCTATATGAACTTTTACTAATTGCTAATGATTTTAATCCTTTTTATCAAAACAGTGTATATTAAAAATAATTTGTTTAATTATGTGTCAAACTAAATCGAAATTTAAGTATTTTTAATGGTTATCTGGGTGTCGTTACGCTGTCTGCACTTCTTCCATCAGTTTTGCCCCTTTTGGCGCTGATGGCGTTGTGCGATGGCAGAGACGCCGAGGTTGACAGCATTGTTTTGCGTCATGACGCAGCTGATGCTACAGGAATTGCTTGCTTTGAAGTAAACAAGCAATTTTGCAAAAGAAAGCAACCCCTCGGCTGCCGGAGCACCCTTTGCCCTCCCCAGACGTACTCGTATGCATAACTCGGGGCCTGCTCAGCCTCTTTGCTGTCAGCTGTCAATGCACTCGACGCGTCTGCTCCCCATTTCCCATTTCCCAGTCCCAATTCGTATCTCCATCTCTATTTCCCATATTCTGCGCCAGACCCCTTGCACACCCGTTGCAGCATTTTTTATGCTGCATTGCACTTTGACTTGGCGGGGCTTTGTTTGCTCGTTCGATACTCGTACTCGTAGACTGCCTTATCGCCGCCCAGTGTTGTTTTTTGTCCTCTGCCGTCGACGATGTTGTCATCAACATTATCATCAGCGAAAAAGTTTTGGCATCCTCCCCTCGATGTTAAAATGTCTTTGAAGCCAGCGAGTTGATTGGAGTTGGCTATGGCAAAATTAACAAATACTTCACACGCAGAAGACACTCAAAACGAAGTACAGTACAGAGAACTTGCAGCTCGCATGACAAATGTTGGCCAATAAATTACAGTTACGCCTGCAATAAATATTCAAATAGCTCTGACCAAGCCAGAGGAATCCAAGGCAACCCCAAAAATGGTCACAGCAGCACAACTGCTAACTAATGATCTATTAGCCCAGAACTTCTGTCCTTTCTTGCTGTGTATCTGTTTCTGTGTCTGTCTCTGTATCCGAGTTTCTCATATCCGGTGCTCGTCTTATTAGTTCACAAAAGCGACCACGTTTGACTTTTATTACACTCACTGTGCCAGTCGTTGCAAAAGTAGTTTTCTGACACAGAAAACATTTATCTTGCTTTGCCCGGTTTTCGGGTTGCCACCGGATGTTGGCTAACTTACAAATGAGCTGGGTATTCAATTTGTCTAAACTGATGCAAATATGATTGAACCCATTTGTTTGCGCTAAAATGGGAAAAGAATCCATCCCGGAGCGGATGGGCAGCCAACTTTTGAAGGGTGGCTAAGGGTCGAGAAAAAGCTTAGCTTTTTATTCCTTAATGGGAGAATCAAAATCACACCAGAAATATTTACGCGGCTTTAGATATGTAGATGTAGCTAGGAAGGTTGATTTTTGGAAATAATAATTTTAAAGCTAATAAAATATAAAATTTATTTTAATTAAATGTTAAAATGACGGCACAATCCAATTGTTTGAAAAACTACTATCATTCGTTCATTCCAATTTTCAGTAGAATCCTTCGAAAGTTTTATGGACTGAGAATCGACCAACTTTCAAGTGAATCAATTGTGTTTCCCTCATCATCAAAATCTTTCAAAAAGCAATTGCTTTTGCTGCCGAACGAGTTTGCCACCTTAGTCAAACTTCGCAAGCCCGAAAACTTTAACTGCCATCTGGATTGGGCAAAACCGAGGAAAGTGTCTAATGCGCGTTTTGGCGACACTTTTCATATGGACAGACGGACAATAGGATGCGGCGAGTGCCGTGCGAAACAAAACTGCAAATTCAACTAAAAACTCAGCGGCAACATAAAAGTATTTCCCGAAAAGAGTTTTGCCTGGCAGTCGAAGCTGAAACAAAAGTTTGCGAGCACAAAACATTTTATTGCACTCTTAAGAAGCAGCACTACACATTTCGCATACGCCATGTAGCACAGCTAAGAGAGCCCGTAACTCCCCGAGCCCAAGTAAAATATGAAATATATTTCAACTTTTGCACACACCGAAATATGTGCGGCATTATGGAACTTTGGGGGGTGGCGTTGGTGTTTCTGCTGGTGCAGCTGGAAATATGCGTCCAAGTCGCTGCCAGGAACAAGCCTTAAGCATCTGGGGCATGCTACAAACGAGAGGAAAGAATGCGGAGCGCAAAAAAAATTGGAAAATATGCCATGACACAAATACGCGCTGCACGACCCAACGAGGTGGAAAAGTTTGCCTTGGAAGTCGCTGGGGGCCGGGAATAGAATCCAAAATCCGAGTCCTGGCCCAGGTGCAAAAGTATGTGGAGGGCTGGGGCGGTGCGATTGCATTTCAAGGCCATTCCGGCCAAATGGAAAATTATTTGCTCCCTGTCATTATTTTCCCCCAGCTCAGCTTGGCTTAGTCTGAGTGCATTCCGTGCCGATGTCAAAATACCTGTTCAAGGTCCAACGGATTGCTATTATTTATTTAACTCAACACACTTTCAGTGATT